AACTGCAGCTCCAAAGAATAGCATCGTCTTGAAGGCGGAGCTAAGTCCACCAAGGCATTTCACATAGCTTAATGGATCCATGGAGACTGAAGGATTTCTCAAACATGCATGAAAGAATCAAAGCAACACTACAGGAAATAAAACTAAAACTATAACTAAAGCTCAAAAAAGTACATTTCACACAACACTGCCCTGTTAAAAATGATCCTGCACAAGGTTTAGATTAGATAAAGCAAAAAGAGAAACAGAGAATAAAAGAGCATCTCCTCCAACTCTGGTGTCCTACTTCAATTCATACTTTAATTTTTCATTTTTTGCTTCTCTCTGATCAGTTTAACGGGTTTAAATCCAGATCTGAGCCACAGAACAAAGAGGCAGAGCTGCTCTTCAAAGGAGAACAGACGCCTCTGGAAACGCATTAACCAGGTCATCAAGATCCAACATGGCCGGAAGTTGTGCTTCCACCTCAACACCCGTCTGCTGCGCTCTGATTGGACTACACGGAACCACAAAGCCCTTCACTCGCCCTTTAAAATCAATCACTGATCGTTGGTTTTTTGGTGTGATGTATTTGTGAACAAACCAAAATCAAACACACAGATTACACCATTTTGTAGCCATGGTAACGCAACAATCAAACTATCAAGATGATTCTTCAAACTTTTGCAAAGCTAAACTTCCTAATTAAATCCTAAATGTAATTTTGTTTTTCTCAACTGAATACAATAAATAAAATTTAGTAACATTGTCATTCTCTATAAATGATGCTACAGTTTTAGATCTATGGTCTGTGTTACAATTAGACCATTTCTTGGGGCCCCTGAATGTCTGGAGGCCCCTGAATGTCTGGAGGCCCCTGAATGTCTGGAGGCCCCTGAATGTCTGGAGGCCCCTGAATGTCTGGAGGCCCCTGAATGGCCCCAACCAGCAGCTACTGAGTTTTCTATGCCTTTATATCCCAGTTTTACAATTCCAGATCTCAGAGATGCTAATATCAAAACATTATATGGCGTTAAAGCCCTTTGAGCTTTTTGATCTATAAATCAGCCTGCAGCCAAGTTGTTGCAGAGGTTAAATAGATATTATTTGGGCTTATTTAGTAAAATAGCAGCAAATTTGCTTATTTCATAACTACATAACCTTTGACCTTCTCTCCTCTGGTCTGTTTAACAGCTCCAGTCTCAGATCAACTCAGCCCTCCAGGACTGTCAGCAGCAGAAACAGCAACATGGGAAAACATTGACTACATTTGCTTTGCATTGTTCCTGCATGATGGAAGTGATATAATAGGATCCAATTAGATTCTTGATTGAAATGGGTTGTTGCTATGTTGTTCTGGTGTTTTAAGGTCTTGTTCAATGTGTTCTTTTTTTAAAACTTTGAGCCTCTGACCCTCTGAAGGTCTCTGCACGGCCCTGCTCCGGTTTCATCCTGTTTGGTTTTAACATAAATCAAAAACTTAATGCTGATAGTTTTCAGCTGCATCTATCAATGTTCAAGACTGATAGATGTTCACTCTTTACTAAGAGAATTACTTGATGAGTATCAAATCTCAATAACCAAGAAACTAAGTAGGAAGTTCATTCTTTCTCTTTTTTGTAGTTAATCAAATTTTTGTTTTTCGAAGATGTAATTTTTGGAAAATCTGCATTTTTTCCCCACCAATTTCCTCTGTGAGTGATGTCAACCAGAGCCACCATCTTGTTTTATAATTTACAGCTTCTTTTTATTTGGTCTTTGAATTCATATCAACTCTACAACAAAATATAAAGGTCAAGCTAACATTTTAATTTAATTCCTAGAATAAATTAATAATATTGCCATAATAAATTGCAGCCGTAGGAGATTAAAGCAGTAATTTTATGACAACTCTAACACAAAACATAACAAAACATTAAAATGAGGAATATTAATTTTGTGAAGTTTGGAATAAGTTTTACAGATATAATCTTTTAACATGTCAACAGAAAATTAAAATCAGGACTTTGGAAGTTTTGAGCAAACAAATGTATAACTATAGCTAGTTTTTTATTAAAACATTTTTTCTCCTAACTTTAAGAGATGCATCTGCTAAACTTGGTCTTTTTTTCTGATAGCATTATTAATATTTCTCATAATTAACTCTTTTTCTTTTTGACATTAAATTGTTTTTTTTCTTTGCAATTTTTTCTTGTCAAAAAGCCAAATTTTTATTTTTTGTTGATTTATATAAGCAATAAAACTGTAAGAGACTTTTTAAAAAATCTAATGTGTCTTACCAAGTGATAAAGTTGCTGAAAAATAAAGTAAATTCTCATCAGTATTCTAATTAATTGACTGTAGGGGTGAGAATTGGATGTTTCTTTTTATTGGGACACTTTATTTTGAATAAATTGACTCGAAATTATTAGAAGTATTTCCACCAAGAAATTATTGATTGAGGAAATTTTTGGGGGGTAATTTAAAATAAATAAATAAATAAAAAATACAAAAATAGGAAATTTTGTTTACTTTTTTTTTCTAAAAATAAAATAAACAAAACCTTTGAAATTATTGAATAAGTTAGCTCTTTACTCTCAGTCGGTTTGCTGATCGGACCCACAGAAAGTGTCAGAAACGTCCCTCCGTGTCTGCGGACCCGGGTTGACCCGCAGCGGAAGGTCACCGTGAACCTGAAGGTGACGCTGGGATGTGTTCACCGGTGACGTTGCTCCCTCTAGTGGCGGCGGTGGGTCATTACAGAACAGGAAATGACTGCACGAGCAAACAAAGAGCAGCAGCTGTTCCCGGAGCAGCAGGTTAAAGTCAATCTGTGCAGAATAAGCCCGAATGCATCTGAATCATGAATCATCAATGAAAACTCAGACGGATCAATCATCTCTATGTTTGTTTTCTTTTGAGTCAGGATTAATGTAAACTGAACACTTTTATAAAGGTCCCATAAACCTCCCTTCATTTTATTTAATCTCAAACAAAAGGAAGATTTTTAAAAGCTTTGCCTAATTGATAATTTTTATTTTTAAATGTCCGTCAATTTATCATTACAGGCTATTATTTGTAATTTATTCCAATACACTTTTTGATCATTCATAAATATTTTATGCGTTTATTTGTATTATATATTGACTTATTTATGAAATTGTTGTAAAATTTATATTTATTAATTATTCAAAGAGTTATGTAGAAATATCTTTATTTACTTTATTACATATTTTATTACATCAGTCAAAAAAAAAACTATTTTGCAATTGTTGTGTTTAGTATTGCTATTTTGTATTTAAGTGTGCTGGATTGGTGCAGAGTTATCAAATAAATTTTTAATTCAATGCATTTATGTCTGTTTTATTATTATTTTTTATTTTAAAGAAGCGTTTTAAGTAAATTCAGTCATTTTCCTGTATCGAATCAGTATCAACTGATACCAAACCCTATCGGTATCAGAAATGAAAAAAGGGGATCGGAGCGTCTCAACTAATTGTTTTTCTATTATAGTGTTTTCATTGGACTTTCAGGATGAAAACCATTCGATTCTGGTTGCCTGCAGAGAAATATGTGCCAACTTTCACAAAATAAACCAAAAGATTCAAAAACAAACTGAAAGAGCAAAAAGTTCAGGAAACTGAATTTAATATGCACAAAAAAACAGACCAGAAAAGATCACAGAAAATACTGTAAACAGACAAAATGGAGTCAAAAAAATTACAGAAAAACAAATTGTAGATCACAACATGCTCCAGATATGAAGTGGAAAGCAGCATGACTGTTGTTGTGATTCCATTACATTTATGTTAATATTCAACCTCTGTTGAAAAAAAAAAACACACGCTGACAAGTTTTTTTATGATAAGTGGATAAAATACATGCCACACTATTATCCTCCCACCACTTCCTGTTGCATTCATGTTTTCACGTGGACATTAAAGGATTTGTAAAAAAAAAAAAAAAAAAAAACTACATTTGTTGACATTATCAATTTTTAAAAGCAACTAAACTGTAAATACTTTCCAAAATAACTATATTCACCAATAAAACAAGAAGTTCAAACTGATGTTAAACTGTTTTCAGTTTTACTTCTGCTGGCTCCAGTTGGTTGGACCTCTGTTGAATTAAAGGCCTAATATTTACATCTATTTTGTTTCATATTTTTATTTAACGTAGACATTAAATGTCTTTTTATTTTTGTAAAATAAGTTAGTCTAACTTTGCAGACCATGATTGTTTCTTAAAAGCAACAAAACTAAATACTTTCTAAAAGAATTGTTTTCAAGATGTCTCACTCTAAATTTAGTGTTTTCAGTTCTTTTAACAGTGTGGCATTCTGCAAGCACATTGCTTGCAGTTTTTCAGTACATTATTCAAAGATAGTTCAGCATTTTAGCCTCAAAGTACATTAAATAAATAAATAAATAAATTAATTAACAAACTAAAACTGATGTTAAACTGTTTTCTGTTCTATTTTGCTTTCTCATTCCTCCAGGTCGGTGGTTATTTGTGAAGCTGTTCTTCAGCTAAAAACACTTGAGCAGAGGGAAAAGGCCGAGCCACCTGTCTTCTTCTTCTTCTTCTTCTCCTGTTTTTATAAAGTGCATCAACAGTCGCGAACAGCCGAACATGGAGGCTGGGAACGGACGGCCCGCCTGTGAGGAGGAGAACACAACAAGAACACAACTACATCCTCGGCGTGTGTGTGTGTGTGTGTGTGCGAGAAAGACTTTCTCTCCGTAGAGTTTCACTGAGTTTACATCCGGGTTTTTTCCCTAGGCAATGGGAGTCGCAGCACCGCCGTTCCTTAGGCAAAGTGAAATAAATTCGCCGCACCGACACAAAAAGTAGTCCGCTCACCGAACAGCCTTTCTGGCCGGCTCGGTTTTATGATCGGTCTGTTTTAACGAACTTTGGCGCCGAACTAAGACGGTATCAAACGCTTCGTGGCGGATTGGGGAGGTTTTTGTGGACCGCGATGTAGTTTTTGTGCCCCCTTCCTCCAGCTTGGCGGCGCAGGGATCTGTGTTGTGCTGAGGCTGAGCTGAATGAGATTGAAGAAGAGTTCTTCTTGTTTTGTAGCTTCAGTTTCTCTGTTTTTACTCGTTTTTTTTACTCTAACAGCAGAACAAAGTGCAGTTCTGCGGGCAGGAGGCGGCCGGACTCCCGCTCAGCTGTGGCTCCACCGTGGATCGGCTGCTGGGAGGAAATATTTAATTAATCTGGAGGAGGACTGCTGCTGAGTAAGTGGGCTTTTTTTAATTTCATAACTTTAATTCAGTCCTGTGTGGAAGTTCAGAAGGCTGAAGGATGAGTCTGATGCTCTGAGCAGGTGTGCGGGCAGGTGTGTGAGCGGCCGCAGGGTGTGTGTTCCGGCTGGCTGTGTGTGTTTAGCTGCGGACCGAGGTTCTGGAGTTCTGGAGGACAAGGGGCCGACAGAACTTAGAGCCACCGACAGACGGCGGCTCACCGCCAGGTTTTGTTCCGAAAAGATGGCGTCCTTCAGGGTTGCTGCTCATCTTCTCCCTCGGGTTTTTCTCCGGGTCTCCAACGGAGGCTCCCCACGGTTCTTTGCGTGAAGTTATCCGCCTGCTGGCGCCGTTAGCCCGGGCAGCTAGCAGGATAGGTAGCGTTAGCGGCTAACGTTAACGGTGCTGAAGTTGGCCTCTGATTGAAAGCTGTTTAATAGCTGTTTAGTAAAGGAGCATTCCGCTGTTTTGAGGAAAGCCTGGACTAAAGTTTATCAGCTCGTTTAAAATTTACAATACCAAAATTTGTAAAACCTGACTTGAACAATTCTAGATTGTGTGCAACATGATATGGGTTATGTAACTTACTCTGATTGTTTTGACACAAGTTAGGAGGACAATCTAATTCTCGTTATCTAGACCATCACAAATAGGGCTGTGCCTGCAAACTTTGGACAAGTCAAACTTGTTCTGTAGTGTTAGAAAGATTTCCTTCAACATTTCAATATGCAAAAGTTTGATTCTATTTATAAATACACGAGCTGTCCATTTTTAGTCTACCTTATTTGAGGTTCTGCCTGAAAACTGCCCTACTTAAACAATTTAAAAGTGATTAAAGTGATCCAGACTGGGTAGATCTCTTTAAGAAAGCAGTTATTTGTAAAACAGTTTACTCTGTTTATAAAAACAAAAAATACCAAAATTTTTATTTTAAAACATATGTTCCTATGCTGCTTTAAAAAAATTTGGCTTCATTAAAACAAACTATTAAAGTTTACATGTTGTCAAGTTACTGATGATCTTTATTTATTTTTGGCTTAAATTCTTTGAAATTACTCTTAATGGAACTTTGACAAATAAAACAAGTTTACTAACAATCTTAGTTCTAAGATTGTTATACAAATCTTAGAAATAAGATTGATATAACAAAGTCCAGTTGACAAAACAATGACGTTTATAATTTTCTTTAACTTTAAAAAATTACATAAAAGTTTCTTCCCATATGTTAAAGTATTCATTAACAATGCAGAATAATTAATTCCAGGTTTGAACTGAGTAAGTGTTTTGGATTTTTCCTCAGGACTTTTCTTAAGGTAGTTCAGTATTTCAAAAAACAGCTGAATGCCCCTTTACGGGTGAATCAGACACCAACTTCAGGCCGCATCCACTTGTTCTCTGTGAAACGGTCGGAGCTTTCACACCGACAAAAAAAAAAAAGAAAAAAAAAAAAAAAAGAAAAGCGACAAAACAACGAAGATCCTGCTGAAATGTCCCCCGGTATCCCAGAGCTGGGAATCTGTCAGGCAGCCCGGAGGGTTTGTGGAGGCCGTCTGCCGTCGGTTAGCGACGGTTTAATGGCTGGTTTCCCCCCGAATCGAAAGAAAAGCGGAGTTTGTGGAGCTGCTCGCAGGATCAACCCTCCATCTTAGCCTCACTTCTTGGTGTTTTCGGGCCTCTGCTGCTGCTGCGGCGGCATGCGGCTTCATGGAAGTTTATATCCCGGCAACTTTCCGACCCAATCAGCTTAATTACCCCACATCCCTTCCGGGACGCCGAACTTGGTGCTTTCACTGGTATTCCCTGGTCACTGGGAACACTGGGGTGTTAACTGGGGTGTTGGGATTTAATGTCAGAGCGCATGAAGCATCACTGCGGCTGTACAATAACAATAAAGACCTACTTTTTCCTGCTTTGGTAGAGAAAAGTGACTATTTTTTATTCTAAACTACTTTTGTTATTGTTTCCCATTATATTTCAGTGGAAATACTGGACTTTTCCCCATTTTCTCTGTGAGGATTCCCTGGTAGTTTGTTGTATTTTAGTAGTTTAATGTGTGACTGATAATAACAGAAACAATTCTTTAATATAATTGCGTCATTAAATCTATACATTTTAGCTCTGAGATCAATATTTTTATTTATTTATTTAGATTTAACTAGGGAATATAATCTGTTTTTAGAGTAGAGTACAAACCATTTAGATGTACTCTGACAGCAAAATATTTAAATATTATCTTTAAACTTAATATATATTCTACTTTAACTCCCTTTTTTAACTTGTAAATAAAAAAAAACTGAAGTATTTTGGGATACTTTCATTATTGTCCACTACATCTAGCAGAGAATAATATATTTATTCAGTTTTTTTATATTTAAAGCATATTTATGTTTGAAAATATTACAAACCTCAGTAGTTTGTTATATTTTATTAGTTTTTAAGCCTTATTTGAGTTATTTTAACTTTTCCATCAAGCTCTAGATGTGAAAAATTCTAAATATTTTTAATACAGTCAAATAAATATTTGGTCAAATCCTCCTGTTATAGTTGTGGGTCACAGTTTGATTGTTTTAGTGTAAAAGTTTTCATCAAGGAGTTTCAGCTGCGTTAAATCTATAAACTTGACTGTTTTCCAAGAAAATCATTTGAAAAGTTTTAAATAAAAGGAACAAACATTTTATTAAATTGTACTTGAAAAACAGAAGTACTAAAGTATTTAGTACAAGTACAGGTGTTTTAAGAACCTGTACTTGTACTTTCCTGCACTTTAAAGTAAATATTTTTATTCAGATCTTAAAACTGATTTTATCTATAGATTACTATAAGCAAGTTCCTTGTTAAACCACTTTTAAAGTATTTTTATCCTGAGTTAATTTGTAATTTTTCCTCCAGAATAGTGTTTTTAAGAAACAAAGTACATTTTATCCACTTGAAAGTACTTCAGTGTATGTAGAAATGAGCAAAACATAAGTATTTTTTCCATTTTAAATACAATAGACAGTACTTTTACTTACTTTCAGGGTAAATAATGCAATTTTTCACATTTAGATTCAGATTATACCACATCTGAACTGAAATGATGTTTTTATCTGTCAGTACTTTATTATTGCTTTCCAGTACGTTTTAGTGGGAGCTCTGGATTTCTTTTTTTCTGGTTTCTCTTTAAGCACAAAGCAGATTTGGATAAAAAAAATCAAACTTTATTAGTTTGTTGTATTTTAATAGTTTTCTGTATTAATAAAAGTATGCTTCAGTTCAAACACAAATGCAGTCGGTTTAATATTGATGGTTTAATATTGAAGTAGTTTTTAATCTGGTACAATCTGTTAAAGTCCAATAACGTAAACAAATACTTGACAGTTTAAAGTGTCAAAACAAAGTACTTTAAAGTACTGCTGTGTTTTTGGAAAGTAGTTGATAGAAAGCAGAACTTATTCAACATCTTTTCATTAAAACAAAATACTTTTGTTTTAATGAAACAAACGTTTTATTAAATTTACTCCTCGTTAGAATAAACCACGTATTTGAGAAACTGAAGTATTTTCATTCTGCATTACTTCATTATTGATTCCCAGTTTGTTTGCTTTTACGCTGGTTATTTCTGTGGATGGAAATAAAATTTTGGAATTTTAAAATGAAGAAGTATTTAGTGATTTATTTTTGCAGCATAGTAATAAAGTACTGAGTATGTACCGATATACAGTTATTTGTATACTTTGGTTTCTTTTAACACAGTTACTGTTCCAGTTCGTGAAACTAAGGGCAGCAGGTTGTACTTGTATAAAACTGATAGTATTACAGTTAAAAGTAACTGTACTACTTTGTACTTATACATTGAGCAGTTTCATCATCTTGGTTTCATTTTGTTTTTATTTTTTTGCTGTTGATTTTACAGGAAACGTTGAAAGAACGTCAATCTGACTGATCTGAATCGGGTTTAAAGTTCAGATAAAAGTATGACTGGATGATCTTCTGCTGCTTTATCAATCAAAACACATCCTGCCTACTTTATGTAAATACTTCAGAGCTCAGCAGCACATCTTTAAAAAGCTTTTTTTATATCCATTAACAGGTTTTAGAAAGTATGTTGTAAATACTATAGTAGTTTCTAACTGGTAAAAGGAGCTTAAATCACTTTTTCAAAAAAGTATTTTCAACAGATTCTCACAAAACTTGAGGTGTTTTTATCTATTTAGAACAGTTTAGAAATAAACGCCTCTGTGTTGTTATAAAGTATTTTTAAAGTGCTGCTGTCTGGTGATGTACTTTCTTTTAACAGCAGTTGATATTTAAATACTGAAGTGACAAAGTATTTTCACTTCCCTCCTGCCTGGTTTTACGTTTCACATGCAAATGTTCTAACTGGTTCTGACGCTGATTATTTTACGTTTTATTCTAACAGGGTCGGGATATTTTGGGTTTCAGGATGAGAAAGTTCAGTGGAAAAAATTAAAGTACTTACAAAGTTTTTTATGTTTTAGAAGTAAAAGTGTTACAGTTTTCCACATCTGGAGCAACTTGCAGGACTTTCACCTGGTTTTGATACAACCTCAGCAAGAGTAAAGTATTGCAGAAAGTTAAGGAAATACTTCCTGGTTCTGGAAGAACCTTAAGGTTTTAGTATCAGAACCACTAAAGTTCAGTTCAGTCTGAAATTTTCATCGTTTTATTTTTGACTTAACTAAACAAAACTTTATCACTTCAAAAATGTTTAAAGTTTAGCAATAAAAAAACAACTTTATTCAAAATCCAGACTGAATTTCAAAGTATTTTAGTATTTTTTGTCAAATAATATTCACTTTAGTATTTTGTTTGCATTTGATTTATAATAAAAAAAATTAATTCTTCTGAGAAACTAATGAATGTTTATCTCTAAGTAAAATGTAAATACTTGACTGTTTTCACAAGAATTAAAACTTTAAAAGAAGTGTTTTATTTCTTTACTACAGTGTTTATAACATAATTAATTTTATTCATAAAGCACAGTTATAAAAAACAAAACCATGACAATAATAATAATAAAATAAAACATGAATAGATTAATAGGATGCACTAAAAAAACAGCATAATTGTAAAAGCAGCTAGAAAGTATTTTTCACTTTTAAAAGTACTGCTGTCTCTGTATTAGTTGTACTTTTGGTATTTAAAACAATAAACTGATTTGACTTGACTTGTTTCTGAACCAGAACCGACTTTATTTGCACATTTGTGCACAAATAATTTTCTCTTAGTCAAGACATTTTAAATACCACTATGAAGGAAATAAAAGTACATATTTTTAAAAGTATATGCAGCATTTTACATTGGAGGAAGACCAGGTTGAATTAGTCTAAATGATTTGTGTCCAGGATGTGTGGGATCTGCAGAGATTTTATTTCTAGTTGAAAGTAAAAGGAAATTCACTACAATTTATATTTGATTCACAAGTTTAAAATAGTTTCTATTTTTTGTTTTCTAACCAAATTTTAATAATAATAGATTGTAGAGTAAATAAAGTGTCTTAAGTGATGTAAGGATAGAAAACATAACTGGACTGTGTTCCTGTTGATCAGATGTCTGCTTAATCTGCCAGATTAGATTATGAGTTTGACGTGTTGGCCTCCAGGATCTTGGTTGTTGGTTCTGATAATCTGCAGATTAAAAGCCTCATATGTCGATGTGTTTGGAGAAAATGGGAAAAATATTTTTTTCTAAAAGTTAAAGCTGCATGAATGAGAAACAAACTGAAAAAAATAATAAAATTTTAAAAAAATAATCTTTTTAAGAATCGTTTTAGCAGATTTGAACCAGCAAACCACTCGGCAGCTCCTGGTTACTTTTAGATAAACTTTATCTCTGGACTGTCTTTTATTAATTAATTATCTTACTTTTTATGATTTAATATATATTAATATATATATTTTGAATTATTTATGTCGTTTTTTCCCTAGTTTTTCTAAATAAAATCTTGATGTTCAGAGGAATATTTATTATTAATAAACGGTTTAAAGTGGTTTTATGTTTCTGCAGTGTTGCACTTTCTCTGAAGCGTTCCTGCAGTATTTATCTGGTTAGAAAATGTTTGTACAAATAGTTATTTTCAGCTACATGAGGCTTAAAATAAAGACAGAGTCAGATTTATCGGCATGTAAATGAGAAAAAGAAGTTGCAGAGTTCAAACAGGTAATAAAATCTGAGCTCATTTTCATTTCTTTGCTTGTTTTAACTCAAATTTTACCTGTAAGTGGAATTTTCCTGAGTTTTTAGCCTTTTGTTTCTGTGATTAAGTGTTTTTTCCCCACTTTTTGTGACTGCACATTTAAAAAAACAGGTTTGGTTTCGGTTTGACTTCCAGCTGTAAATCTGTCAGATCTTCTCCAGAATAATTTATGTTTTTGCTGATGGATGAGTTTCATTTCAGGCCTGCAGAGGATTCTGACGTCTTTGTTTTTCTGTAAATGAAACTTGTTTTATCTAACCTGCAGGCAGCCAGCAGGGGGCATTGTGGAAAGTAATTATTGGACCATTAGATGAAACAGGAAGGATTCTAGTTAAATATAATGACATTTTACCCCGATTATGAGTGATATTGGTTAATTTCACGTTTGTAGTAACAATTAAGGAATCTCGAAACATCAATATCTTTGATCAGTTGCAAACACATGGAGCCTGATGTCTTTTTTTGTGATTTTTTTTTCTTTTTGTGTTTTTGTTTTTTTTTTTTTGATGAAAAACTGTTGATTTGTTGTCCTTTATAAAAGTGCGGCTGATCTTGTGATGGAGTGGGTTTGTTGTGTTTTCCAGGGCAGCACAGAGGGGTGGAGTCCAGTCCCACAGCCAGGTGGTGAGTCCTGCTTTATTACAACAACAATGCATTAATTCAAATACTGTACAGATTTATTTTTTTGTTTAATTCTTCCAGCTCTAACTTTTAGTGGAACATTTGCATCATTCTGTCAAAAATGCTCCTAAACTCAGAGAAAAGCAAATAAACTGGATAGTTTTGTTGTTTATTATCATGAAAATCTCAAATGCAACTTATTTCAGCTCCAGTAAAAAATGTTTTTGAAAGCACTAAAGAAGATTATCTGAAGGGGAAATGATGTCTTTTAAAAACAGGACTTTTAGATCTGCAGGAGTTTCTATGTTTTGTTACTTTGTCTTCCACTGGACTGAAAGGAGAATGAAATCAGCCAAAAACAAAAGAAAGATCTTCAGAAAGTGTGTAGATCTGCTGATGTAAATGAAAACCTGCATCAGGACCTAAAAATCGGTTTCAGGTGACGTCAACAGGGCGTGGTGCCTGTGTTGCGTTCGAGTGCTGTGGGTTTTCTCTGCCTCTGACACAAGGAGCCACAAAACAACAATTTTAATGTTTTGTTTTTTTCCTTTAGCTTATTGAGATTATTTTCAAAAGGTGGGCTTTATTCCAATCATGAATATGAGAGTTTGTGTTTAATATCAGCAGAAATAAAGTTGCATTTTTACCAGAAAAACAGGAGTTATTAGGAGCTATATCTCCTGATTTCTTTTACTGTTTCAAAGTCTTACTACTGATAATAATTTGATGCTTATTTGTTTAAAAAAAATTAAGTGTTTTCTTATCTGCAAATTAAATATCAAAGTATAACTTCAAAAGATGTGGCCAAAATGTGTTGCCTTGACTGGTTTATTTTATTCTTGTTTTATTTTGACTTTATTCTCATTCAACTGTATCAAAATTCAAAAACACTTCATTGATCCCAAAGAGATCAATAAATTAATATTTTTTTAAAGAGTTATTGTAGATGGCTCTCCTATAGCAGTCTGTATCACAGTAAATTTGAAGAAGCTTCTGACTAAAGATACTCTGTTATTCTAAGATAGTTTGGTTGTTCATAATTTTCTGTAAAACCCATCTAATCCTTTTTATTTCTTATTTGGTTTATATTATGACTTTTTTCTCATAATTTAAAAAATAAAATAAAATGGAAGCCTGGCCCTAATATGAGTTCAAGGTCCAAACAAACACAAACTGGCAGCTCACTCTTATTTCGGATTATTTTGTGTTGCAGTTCTCATAAAATTATCAATTTTCTGTCTTAACATTCTGAATTTTTTTTCCCCTGGTAATATTAAATTTTTATTCTCATTAATTCGACTGTCGTATATGTATATTTGTGTAATATTATGACTGTATTCTTGTAATTAAAAAGAATACATCGTAGTCTGGCGTTAACTTTCTGTCATAAACTTGACCTGGATAAAACGTACAAATACTGTAAATAGCTGTAAAACAAGATGGCCGCCCTGGGCGTGATGACATCACTCTTAAAACCCAACGAGATAATATTGTTGTTTTGAGGTGATATAATGTTATTGGCATAATAATAATGTGAGAATATATTCTCAAAAATCAATAAACATCAAATGCTACAAATGAACATTTAACACTGGAACCAGAAGACATTTTAAATATCCAAAATAAACAAAACAGAAATGACAAAGAGCCAGACTGAAGACTTTTGTCATCCAGTTTTTGGTTAAAAGAGAAAACTAAATAATTCAAATGGAAATTACTGTCATTGTTTTAATTTATCATTTTATTAACTTATTTATTTCTTATTGTGACCAGCCTGTTCAAAAACCAATAATCAGGTTAATAAAATTGATTTCTTGCCCAGTCCTTGTATTTATCCCTAATAAATTCCAGAGTTTAATGCTTTTCCTTTTTGCTTTCAGCGGCACTTTAATGCTTCAGTTGGATGGTTTTCCTACTGGAGAAGGTGTTCAGGTAAAAGCGCAGCGCCTCTCAGACAGGAAGCTGTCGTCAGCAAACAGGAAGTGGTAACCGGACAGGTTTGTGTTCCAGGCTGATCGATCGGTTGGCAGACTGACTGGATCCATGATGGAACTACAGACGCTACAGGAGGCTCTGAAGGTGGAGATCCAGATCCATCAGGTGAGTCTCCGGGTCCAGCACCCGCAGGATGTTGCTGCCGCCACCAGGTGTCACTGTGACTCGTTATTTTTCTCCTTCTACAGAAACTTGTGGCTCAGATGAAGCAGGACCCGCAGGTAAAACCCAGCAGGTCTCCATGTGGGTCCGGTCCGAGATCCGGTCTGGTTCTGCTCAGCCTGACCCGCTTTGTTTTTGTTTCAGAACGCAGATCTGAAGAAGCAGCTCCACGAACTCCAGGCAAAGATCACAGCGCTCAGCGAGAAGCAGGTGAGTCCACAGGCAGACCGACTCACCTGGAGGTCAAGGGTCAGGGCGAGTCCTGGGCAATACGGACCCAGGACCGGTCTGTAAAATCCATCTATGTTCGGTAAAAGAACAAATGTTCGGTAAAAGGAGGATGTTGAAAGGTTAGGACCTCCTCTGAGTTCTGCTGACCCCTGACCTCTATGACCTCTCCGTTGACGTCTAGTTTGGCCTCAGAACAAACCGGAGACTCTTGACCCGTTCTGATGTGTAACTTGGAGCTGATGTTCTCCTGGTTTCATTCTGCAGACAGGAACCTCAGACTTTTATTCTGAAAATAATCAGGAAGTCTAAAGCCTGATTTCCTCAGTTTTAAAGGAGAAATTCAGATTGTTTTTTTTTTACTCTTTCTGTCTGACATTTCTGTTTATCTGCAGTTTATTTAACAGACTTTTTAAGCGTTTTATTTTTTTGATTAGATCATTCTGTTTGCTGTTTTTATATTTCTTTTAATCCTTTTTAAAGCTGATTGTGGCTTTGCCGTAACTTTTTTGCAGTTACTTTTTGTTCTTGGGTATTTATTTGTTTCTTTATGATAATTTGAGTAATAATGTAAATGAGCTGCAGCAGTTGTCGTTTCAGATTAATGTTTCTTTAAAAACTGGAGTTTTTTTTTAATCGAGCTTCAGGATCTTCTGAAGACTTGATGCTGAAGCGTCTTTGTTGTTGGTTGCAGATCTATTTTTATCGTCTTTCTGAGCGTTTCTATTTCTGTCCGCTCCCTGCAGGTTGGATTTTTTTATTTGTCTGCTGTGATGAGTGTGGACTCTAAGGTGAAACACACAGATCAGACGGTTCCCAACATGCAGGATGGAGATACTGGATTGTGAAAAGCTGCTTTAATTTTAATTAGTTTAAGGTTTGGAAAATGCTGGATATTCAAACTGTGCAATTTTGCGACACAGTGCAATGTAACATTTGATTAAAATGTTACGTACAGTTGAAATTAGATACTTAAATAGAAACATGTATTTTTTTCCCCTCGTATTTAGTCTGAACTTAAATCAGACTAAATATTTCTTGTTTAGCTCAAAGTTACTAAAATTATTTGTATTTGCTAAATACCAGAAAACATGGTGAGATTTTTTCTATTTATCTCTGCTGTAGAGTGTATAATACAATCACAAGACATTAAGACAGAAAAACTTGCATGAGATAGTAAAATTGGTCATTTTATTACTTTATTATTTTGACTCTATTATTTCTTTAATCTAAATTCAAAGCCGAAATAAGTATAAGCCGTCAAACAAGATGGCGGCTTTGGGTGCCCTGACAGCACGCTGAATTAAGAAGAGCATTGGTAGAAAAAAAATCCCAATTTTACAAAAATAAATTCTTCAAATAAAACTTTCATTAACTGATCAGATCAACTTATCTCCCTAATCTAAATCTGGTTATTCTGGTTTAAACTCCTGTTTTTGTCTGTTTTCCGTCTTAGTCTGTCTTTGTGTTAACTCCTCCTCTGATTGGCTGGATGTGGAGACTTCTTGGTTTGAACCAGGAAGTGAATGAAAGGTCACTCTGATAGTGTGATCTGCAGGTCTCGGCAGGTCTTGGACTCGGCCGTTAATTTCTCTCAGTCGGTCTTTGATCGGCCATCGCTGCGTTTGCTTCCTGCTGTTGCTGAGTAACAGATGGGCCTTTTCCTCAGCTTGCTGTTTCCATGTGACCTGATTCTGAGCTGCTGTCCCGCTAACTCTGATTATTATTCTTTTGATGTTTGCTTCCTTCCATCACTAGTTCTCTTTCAGGGAATGTAAGGAAACATTTGGCGTTCCTACAGTCTGGAATAATCCAGAATCTGATTTCTGCAGTTTTTTATGAGCCTTGAGAAATTTAGAAGAAGAAATTATGGACTTTTGTCAGACTTTATTTCTGTTCCCACTGTCCAGAACTTTCCTTACTGACTTCCTTCCTTGTAACATTCCTTCCCTCCTTTCTTTTAGCTGTCCTTTCTTTTCTTCTTTGTTTTTCAACACCTTCCTCTTTATAACGTTCCTTTCTTCCTTGTTGCATTATTTCCTTCCTTCCTTCCTTCTTTGTAACCTTATTTTATTCCTTCAGTCTTTCTTTGTCATTCCTTACTTCCTTCCTTGCACTTTTTGTTTCTTGTCGTCTTTATACATTTTTGTCATAATATAAGAGAAGATCATTTACACTTAGCAAAAATATTGATAAATAATCTGTAAACAGATTGAATGTTTTCAGTTCTGACTGAAAAGAGTCTTCTGGTTCTGGAACTGAGGAGTTCTGGTCCAGGTCGGGTTTAACACAAGCCCAGTTCCTGTTGCTGCTCATCAATATTTTTAAGGTGGTTCCTTCCTGATAGATTGAATAAATCTCTGACTGTCATGACAAGAGGAGAAATTTTATACAGTGTGTTTGTATAAACGTAACAAACTGCAATAAATAAAAGTGTTTGCAGAGGGTTGGTTTCATTATGTGGACATTTCAGAGGTGAATAAAGGAGAAAGCTGATTTTTATTGGTTTGTTTGTGTTCAGAAAAAGGTGGTGGAGCAGCTGAGGAAAGAGCTGCTGGTGAAGCAGGAACCAGAGGCCAAACTGCAGCTGCAGGTTCAAGCTGCTCCAGTAGGGGGCGACCTGAAGCCGACCAACCTGCTGCAGAGCCAGCAGATACCTGGAGGACTGCAGCAGGTGGGTGACCGCCACCTCTCTGCCCTGATTCAATTCAGTTTGACGTTTTACTCATTATAAAGATGCAGTATATAACTTTTATAATATATTTATATGTTAAAACTGACAATGTAATATGAGAGATGATCTGTGAAAGGATTGATTGCCATCTGAAGAAATTCACCAAAACAACCAATCACAGCCAGGAGGAGGGTCTTGGTGTTATGTCTCATAACATGCTGTTGCAGCATAGTGACAGTTTCAACAAATATATGCAAAATAAATATTTATATAAACGTTACATACTGCAGCTTTAAATGTTTTAACTAATTAAGTCTTCAGATTTAATCCTGTTGTTCTCCGAGTTAATCTGGGTGAATTTCTCTGAACAGACGCTGACGGTCACGCCGGTCCTCACCGCCAAGACCCTGGTGCTTAAAGCCGCCGCCACGCCCACCCTGCCCGGCGCCATTTTGTCGCAGCGCCCGCCCACCGTCGCTATGGTAACCACAGCCATCACCAAGCCCGACTCGCAGAGCGTCCCCATCAACCTGCAGGTGGCCAGCCGGCTGACCAATCAGAGCTCGGAGCCTGTGCGGCTGGTGTCCAAGAACGCAATGGTGGTGAGTTCGTCCCGCCGCGGCTCCGGGGCCAGTTAGTGAGCACCGGGTGAGACGCTTCCCAAGACGCTCCCAGGCCTGAGATAGGCTCGCCATGTCTGGAGCGAGTTCTGCCAGGCCGTGGTGTGAGCGGTGGCCGTTCAGCTGCTCCCAGATGGAGTCCATAAGGCACAGAAACTAGACGGTTCATTTCTGATCTCCTCAGCATTTGCTGTTTGTCACAAAGAAATCCGTTTTCCCTAATTCTGCAGCAGCTTTACTTAAAACTGACCCGCTGAAGTGAGTTTCCACCAGCAGCCCTCCCATAGATTGTACAAAATTTAGATAAAAATCTGCCTCAACCAACCTTTTATACTCTCTGCTAAATGTGCTAACGGAGTGTTGCTATGAGTCCTTTATGTTTGAGAAATGCTTTAATCTCCATGGCAGCTATACAGTTCTGCTAAATGCCTGGTCAGATGTAGCCCCACCCTCAAGACACTGCTCCTCCCTAAAAGCTGCAGTTTCCAAGCTTCGTTCTCTCAGAGCAACCTTCCAGCTCCTTCAGACTAGCCAGCAGCAATTAGCAAACACGTGGAGGATCTGCTGAGCTCATGGGAGCTTCCTCTCACTGCAGTTTAAACCGAGGAGTCATGTTGTGACGACTTCCCGAAGGCGGAGTTTCAGATTGCAGGAGTTTTTAAAGAGACAGAGGCCCATTTTCAAGGTGTCGAATTAGAAAGTCTTTTACATCATATTTTATATATACAGCAATTTTTAACAACTGAAGTTAACGTAGTTGATTGTTGTTTAAAATGGCACTGTATACCTCTTGACTTGGTCTCTAACTTGAGACCAAGTCACGCTACATGACACAATAAAATATGAAATATGATCAAAATTGTTAATCAAATTGATCTGAAAGATTCACAGTGCCATAAAAACGCCTAGTTATTAAATACTTAGAGCTGAAATACATGTAACCAAGATTAAAAGCAGAACAAACTCGTTGTTCTGCTTATTTAAAAAGATAATACCCTGGGCATTTGCCCAAGTCATTCATTTCAGAAATCGTCACTGTCTGCACCATTAAACATAACCATTGAGGCAATGCTCTGCCATCATGGCAGACCTACAGCTGCCACTTTGAACCAATCAAAGAGCAATGCCCATACTCTGCGTGCTCTTTCATTCTTGTTTTCTTTATTTGCTAATTAAATAAATACCAATGTATATAATTAGATAAAACATTAATAGCTACTGTAGTTTACGCAGAGCATTGCAAGAACAAAGACCGGCTCTCAGCAAGGCTCCAGTCCTATCTTCTTCGTAAAGAGAAGTTCAGATGACTCAGATAGTTTGTGAGTGTTGCAAATATGTTAACAAATAAACTGGACAGTATGCTGTGAGCTTAGTGCACCTTCTCACACTTGCGGTCTTGACTGGTCTTGACTGGTCTTGAAATAAAATCCCGAGTCCTCCGCGCCTGAGACCAAGACCAGTCTCGGATACAACAACACTGCTGCTTGTTTAATCACCTTTTGCTATCCAGTTATTAACCGGTTAATATAGGAGCGATGTTACGGCGACTTCCTGAAGAGAAGGACATCCCAATTTCAACGTGTGAAATTGTGAAGTCAGATTAGATACCTAGAACTTTTCTTTTAAACAACTGAAGTTAAAGTAGTGACTTGATTGTTTTTTGATCTGCACTATGTGCCTGGAAAACACTCGATACTGCCCCTTAACTAAATTAATTTGTGGTGGACTGCCATATAAAGCTCTAATGAAATGCAGAGTTTTGGTTTTACGTAACAAACGAAGCGAAACCGATGTCGGCGCGGATGCATCTCAGAGGAGTTGAAAGTTGAGTCGTGTTGTGACGGCAGCGGTCGGGTTGATCAGCTACCAGCTGTGTGGGTGTCAGACCCACAGACCCACATTCTGCTGTGGTTTTGTCTCAGCTGCAGGCCACCACCACCTCCTCCTCCGCCCAGCCAATCAGAGTTCCTCAGTTTGTCCCTCCTCCTAGACTGACGCCTCGGCCCACCTTTCAGCCACAGGTGCGTCCCAAAAGCCCCGCCTCCACAACCTGACCCCCCCCTCCCACCCCTTCTCCTCTCAGACCAGTGTGTGTGGCCCTACCTGAGGTGATGTGTTCACTCTCCAGCAGAGGGCAGCAAAGCAAATACTCCTGCCTTGCTCAGTGGCACTAAAACATGGTTTTCTCTGTGCCGCCTCATCCCTTTTCCTCGTGTTGTGCTTCTTTTTGGTTATTTTCCGACTGACCTGTGAGCAGGTGGTTGTGGAGGGGTCGTGACCCCCTCTGACTCTGTGTATGCGTGTGTGTGTTGACCTTATCGTGGTGACGGTTTGTTCTCCTGCAGCTTCTTGGTATTTTTTCAGTTCCTGGCTGTTTGTTTGTGTAGTGTTTTTTTTTCTTTTTGTTTTGTTTTTTAATTAATCCTGGAAGTTGAAGCGGAAATGTTGGCAAATATTTGAGCTGAGTAACGCCTCTGGAGCCGCCGCGCCCCCTGGTGTCTGCAGCATGAACTGCAGTAGCCACTGCAGAGACCAGGAGGCACAATAATGTTAGAGACAAGCAGCACAACCTGGTTGTAGTGATCAGACTAGATCTGGGAAATGTTAATTAAAAATTTACTTGTTGCTCAATCATTTCAAAGCTTTGCTATTAATAATTTGATGCTGATTTGTTAGAAGGTGAAGCATTTCCTTGTATATGAAACGGATAGCATAAAACTTCAAGGTGCTCAATATTTCTCTTTTTTTTTTGCCTTTTGGAGTTCTCATAAAATTACAACTTTTATTCTTCTGATATGACCACTGAACTCTGGCAATGTTATGACTTTATTCTCAAAATTAAAAATCTTTGCATGACCGTAGAGTTGACCTAAATTCAAAGTCCAAATAAGTAAAAGCCGTAAAACATGAAACAAGATGGCCGCCCTGGGTGTGCTGACATCACTCTGAACTTTTGAAACCCAAGAAATTCATTTGAAAAAATTCCAATTTTGAAAAAACGCAATCTCCAAAAACCAAAACTTGATTTGTCGCCCAGCCTTAGATTAGCCTTCATTGAGTCTTGAACATGATATAATACATACCCAGCTGAAGACGTGAGGGAAGCGCAACTTAAGATATCAAACACGGCAGAAATAGAGCTTTGACCCTGACGGCGAGGATAATTAGAACAGAACATGTTGAATATCTGACAGTGGAGAACAGGAATATACTTGGGAATATTTGGGAATTCTCTGCGTCCTGGAAGCTTGTGGAAGTTGGTTTCAGGAGCACCAGTCAGCTTGAAGATCTCCGAGTCGTTACCCAGCCATGTCTGATTCCCACACGCCCGTTTCCTGATTGGTTGTTTGTCGTCAACAGGTCAGGCCGAGGCTGGCCACGCCCACCAACGTCCCCATCGCCCCGGCCCCTCCCCCACCCATGATGGCGGCCCCACAGCTGCTCCAGAGGCCCGTCATGCTAACCACCAAGCTGGCGACCTCGCTGCCCTCGGCCGCACCCATCCACCAGGTCCGCATCGTCAACGGGCAGCCGTGTGGCAAGACGGGCGCCGCCCCGCTGACCGGCATCGTCATCACCACGCCCGTCACTGCCACGCCCACACGGCTTGCAAGCCCCTCCCAGGCGCTGACTAACCCCGCCCCTCTCGCTGTTCCCCCGCCTCCAGCCCCGCCCATCCAGATCAGCAGCCTGATCTCTGAACCTAAGGTAGGAGTCCATGATGATTGTCAAAGTGCCACTTCGCAGTAGCTGCGTCTCCATTATAAACCTGCACAAAACTTTACTAATCTAGAAAAAACACAATTTCAAAATTCAAATTTTGCAAAACTAATTTGTTGGACAGCTACTCTTTACTTTTACTTTACCAAAAATATGTTGAAGTAATGCTTCTCTTGAGTGCAATTTTTGGGTGCTCTTCCTAACGTGGTATGAGTAGCACCACACAGAGATTGACTGACGACTCTAAGACCCTCCCTCTGGCTCTGATTGGTTGTTTCTGGTTAGCAGCTTGTTTTTTCAGACCATCTCAAATCAAACTGTCAAAACACTGACAATTTCAACAAATATCTAAAAATACTTTGTTATCAAAGGTTACACATTGCAGCTTTAAGCAGATTTATTTTCATAATTTCAATTTGCACAGTTATGTGTAGAATGGAAACGCAGCCATTGGTGCAGTCTGGGTGCTGTTTGCCTATATGAACTATATGGGTTTTATTTCAAGTACCATGTGAGTTCTTCCAGTCCAGGGTAATTTCTCATGGGTCCTGGTTATCCTCCTGCAGCTCTTCATCTCTCCAAACCTTAACCTGCTGTCGTCACCTTCCTCCTCCTCCTCATCCTCCTCTCATCAGACTGTTAAACTGGAAGCAGCAGAACAGAAAGCCACGGTCAGCTTGCCGTCCTCCTCCACCCCACCGCTCTCTCCACCCCCTCGATCCAAAAAGGAGGAGAACCCCGAGGTGAGACCTCTTCATATTGAATGCTTTCTCTTGAACTCCTCCATGTGCTGCTGATAAAGCCGCTCTTCCTCTTTCAGAAACTGGCCTTCATGGTGTCTCTGGGCCTCGTCACACACGACCACCTGGAAGGTGAGCAGCGCTCCGGGCGCCTGCTGGTCCGAAAGCTGCTGCAAAACAAATGTTTTCGGCTCTGAAACTTTTGGTTTCTGTCCTTGCAGAGATCCAGAGCAAACGGCAGGAGAGGAAGAGGAGAACGACGGCCAATCCAGTGTACAGCGGAGCCGTGTTCGAGCCTGAGGTAACGTCGATTTGAGCACACGGGTTTATTTTAATCAGTTCCTCCTGGATGTCATGGTTTTTGTGATTGTTGCAGTCTAAAACTGCTGATTTTGTTGTACCTTTTGCAAAAATTTGCGGTCCAAGTTTCATTTTTGTTTGTGTTTGAGCTTTATGTTTGCTGCAAAAAAACTCGAATGAATTATGGCACATAAACTTAACAAAAAAGACAGGATTTTAACGTGCTTCACATTTATAGAGCAAATAACGTTCTTCAAATAAATAAAATTATGTCCTGAGGCTTTATCAATATGAAAAACAAGAATTCCTTATTGGTCAGTTACACCATGACTGTTTACAAAGAATAAGCAAATCTGACAAAACATCACAACATTACCATTTTGCATCCCACATGCTTTCATCTCGCAAGTTTGACTTTCAAGACGTCATGAAACAGGAAGTTAAATTAGAAGGAAGGGGATTGGTAAAAAATTCAAGTGAATTGCAGTGACTGGTCAGAGAAGAAGAAAATGCAGAAAGCATTTGTAGAAAAGTTGCGATGAGTGCTTAAAATTGCAAGTAAATAAATAATTTGTGAATGATGACTGAACTTACATTTTTAGTTGCAAACGCAACGCCATAACTTTCTGGAGAGACCGCTGAATGAGTTTGAGAACCAGTTCAGCAACTCTCATACTGGGTTAATCTGCAGATTCTCAGTTTAGTTTGGACTGAACTAAACTCAGATAAAATCAGATTATTTTTTTTCTATTGTTGATCCAGTTGCTCTGTTTTTGTTTCAGAGGAAAAAGAGTGCAGTGAGTTACCTGAACAGCCCTCTGCACCAGGGAACCAGGAAGAGAGGTCTGTATGATACTCGAAGTCTGACTCCCAGTCCAAACCAGTTCCAGTCTGTAGAGACTAGATTTATTAACACGCTGTGCAACTCCTCCTCCTCTCCTCTACTGCTTCCTATCGCTTCCGTCAGGCGGATTTCTGCTCGTTTGTCAGAGCGCTTCCATGAACAACCTCAGCGAAGTCAGACTTTGGTCTCCTTGTGTGTCTGTGGCTTTAAACGACGTTTAATTGAATCCAAGCATGTTCACATATGAGTTCATTGAGGCGTACAGTCAGATGCATGCATAAATAGTCAGGAAGAGAACTGGGAGCTTAGAAAGTAGTTTTCTTGATTAAAAAAATATACACTATCATCTGGAATCAGAACTTCAAAGCTCAGTTTTCAAAGTTTGGCTAAAAATTTGAAAGTGATAGAAGATGTAGATGTAGTAACATCCTCAACCCGCTGTCCGCAAATTTATAAAACCACTTTGATCAGGTGGTTAAATAGAATAGTTAAAATAGTATTGAACAGCACTCTAATACTGTTCAATAGATCTATGCAAGCTGATCAAAAACAGCCATTTGGTCTACAATGTTTTACTGGGTAAGGCTAATTAAAAAGTTAGTTGTGCTAATCCTAAATCACTAATCATGAACATCAGTTCTGCGCTATACCAACACGGTACTTAGCTGAAGCTAACGCTGAAATGCTTTGGAAATGGAATTGATGGGTAAAACGTTTCCCCCACTTCAAAATAAGAGCATAAATATTAATGTCTAATTACTTAAGTCGATAACCAAAGCTTTAACTCTTTTGCACATGTTGAATAAAGTGTGTTAGGGTTTAAATGGAAAGTGGTTTAATTGAAGTTAAAGTATAAATGGAAAAGGTTTGTGTGCTAACAGTTTTCAAAGTTGACTAAAACGTGTTGCAAAATCAAAGAAATTAGCGACAATATTAGCGGAAATGTGCCAACCATTGGTCCTTGGTTTGGAACGTCTCAATAAGCTCTTCACTAAATGGATGGGAGGAAATCTGAGGGTTACTGCACACCACCAGGGTATTAACGCCTAATGGCACTATACTTTATAAATACCAAGTGGAGCACAAATTAAATCCTAAAGATCTTTCCATAAGAAGCTCCTCCCTTCCTTCTGTCTCCCAGCAACCAGTAAAGCTGAGCTATGGTGGTGGTGGTGAACTAATGGTTCCAGCTTGAGTGGCTTGCTGTGGTGGGTTCTGACTGGTTTCTGGAGCTCTTTGATAAACATTCATAAATCCAGTTTAACCTTTTAACAGAAATGCATCCTGGGATCTGAAGGAGCACTAATGTCTAATTTCAATAATAAGAAGGAAAAGGTGTCTGTTTCTGAGAGTCATGCTGACGTGTTCCAGCTGTAACACGACTAACAGGCAGCTGCTGGTGTAACATCTCACTGGTCTTCGACTGGACGACTAGTTTAACAGGAAGCATTTTAAACTTAATAGACGGATGAATGTTGTCGTTTTAACTCGGAGCTGGACGCTAACGCACCTTAAAATGGATCTCAGGTCCCTTTTGCGCCCTCAGAATGTCAGCTTCACCTACAGTTGAGGTTCTGACCCGCTTGATGGGGAGGTGAGGCGACGGTCAGACTCCTGGTTTCATTTACTTCCTGTTTGTCTTTTAACTTCCAGCCTTGCTAAGTCTCCACTGTCATTGGTTCATGGCCTGATGATAATGGATGTCGCTATTTATTTGCCAATCAAGGCAGGTTCAGTGACGGGTTAATGAAATCTGAAGCTGGGCGTACACTGCGCCGTATTTTCAGTCACAGGGTTCAATAATTCACATGCTCTTGAATATGAAGAAAAATAGAAGAAGAGGAGAATACAAAACCAAAACAAACGTTCTTTTTTTGCCAATCCTTTTTTTTTTTTAACTGTTTAACTTGAATTTACTTATATAAATTCATATGTACAAACATATATATAATACAAACTCATATTTTGTACTTCCATTTGCATCTCTACTGCTTGTAGAAGCAAACCAAGCACTTTTTTAAAATCATTTTTTGCAAAAGTTAATATTTTGGAAAATGACTCGTTAACTTCCACATAAGTCACATTCAGGGTTACCTAGCAACCCCGTGCAAGCCCAGTCTCGTTACCTAGCAACCGAAATGGATCTCCAGCACTTGTGGTCAACAAGTTTCGCCACTGTACAATGGCTGCTGGAAAAGTGTGTTTTCTGTTCAAGTAATTTTTGAATTATTCTGTTCTGGCTGTAGTGAGATCTGTGAAACTGAACAAAATACATGTGATTATGGTCCAGATTAGTTTGATTTTTAACTTGAGCTCGTTTGCTCTGAAACAAGTGTAACGAACGAGTAAAAACAGAAGAACCCTGCAGTGGGGGGCAAATACTTGTTCACTAATCTTTCTGTAACCTTACGGTGATCTATTCTTATAGACGGATGAATGTTGTCGTTAACATGGGCATTTACTCTGGTCATGACAATTTTTATTTACTTTTAAAATGATAAATCTCAGTTGTTGGTGGCGAATAAATGAAAACCAAAGTGACGGTGTGATCAGAAATGTTATTTTTGCTGGTTTGACCAGGTAGTCAGCCTATTGTTTTAAGTCAGTTTCAGTTTCTTTATTTTACGTTGGTTGTTATTCTCCTAATTGCTCTGAATGAACAAATTAAATATGTCGTTTTTACATTTTTGCCCAGCTTGTGAAGGTATTGGTGTGCTGATACAGAGTTATCAAATAAATTTGTAATTTAGTACATTTATGTCTGGATTTAAGTTAATTCAGCACTGTTGTTTTTTTGTTATTTTTTATATATATTGTTGTGGCATCGGCTGATGATGAAACTCAGATTTTGGTATCGGAAGTGAAAAAAGTAGGTGGTTGCCATGAAACGGGTGGATTTTGGTCGCATTTTCCTGCGGTTTGAAATTAGCTGAAGTTAAAGACAAATAGGGCGTGAGTTTGGTTGGGAGGTGTTACCTGAGCAGGTGTGTTGGCCTGTCTGTAGCCTGCATGGAGCTGGTGTCGTTCACTAACACTGCTGTCTGTGCTTCTGACTCCTCTTCCTCACTGCTCCCTGATTCATGCTAGCCAACGAAGACTCCCTTTCCAAGGTATGTCATACAGACGCTCTGTTTTTTTTGTCTTCTCCCCCCTCTCCATCTTTTTTTTTGTTTTTTTTGTTTTGTTTTGTTTTTCCGTCTTTGTCGTCTGTCTCATTCCACCCAGGTCGCCCACCCAAATTCAGCAGCGTCCCGGAGCTGGGCAGACTCACCCCGACCTCCCCCTCCAGCCCCGTCCGTCCCCTCCCCCTGCCCAGCCCCGGCTCTGGGGACGTAAGTAACGATGGGGGAGACGGCGGACGCCCCCGTCACACGCAGCCCCGCTGTCGCCCATTCACACGCACCGCCATCACTTTGTTGTCCATGTGGTAACCATGAACCATCACTTCCTGTCATTCAGCCTTACAAAGTGAACAGAGTCCATGAATAACACACATATCCTAACAGACACACACACACACACATCCATCAGAGCTCTAAACGAGACCAGCTGTAAACTAAACCAGATCACGGTCCCGCCCCCTCCCCTCCGCCCCGCCTCTCCATGCAGGGTGGGTGGGGCTCCTGCAGAAACTGATTTGGTCCAATTCTTCCTCGCAGGGAGACATCCACGAGGATTTCTGCACTGTGTGCAGACGCAGTGGCCAGTTGCTCATGTGCGACACGTGTTCTCGTGTTTATCATCTGGACTGCCTGGATCCACCCCTGAAAACCATTCCTAAAGGCATGTGGATCTGTCCAAAATGCCAAGACCAGGTAACCGCAGCAGCAGAGACTGATCCAGAGTCAGGGGAGCGTTAGCTGTGCTGTAATCAGGGCTGAAACAATTAATTGGATTAATCGTGATTAATCAATTATTGAAATAATCATCAAATAATTTAGTAATAGATTAAGCATTTACTGGAGTTTACAGACTCAAAAAAGGCCATTTGCAACACAGCAGTGATTTAGCCCAAACTGTATAAAAATATATACATTTTGCATTTAGGATGACATAATAATCTACCCAAAACTTAATTTGCATAGTTTTAGCTTCACCCAGTTAAAATTTTGTGGAAAAAATATTTTATTAAAGGGACAGAATTATGTAAAATTTACTTTTTTGAGCTTTACATCATGTTATAATGTTACCCCCCCCATTAAAAACATATTTGGAGAGTCTTTCGTTTGAGACGCCCTTCAACCTCCATGTCAACCATTCAGCTGTTCAAAACCCTTAAGGTGGAGCTCCTCCTCAAAGCTGCAGCTTCCAAACTTCTACTTCATAGAAACAGCCCTTGCTCTGTGACTATACCCCACCCCCTCAGTTCCTTCAGACTAGCCAAAAGCAATTAGCAAACACCTGCTAGGCTCATTACATGAGCTACTTCTCAATGCAGCCCTGGTAACAATGTTGTTAACGGGTTATTTTCCTGAAAGATCCAGAGTTTTTAAAGAGACAGAATCTAATTTTTAAGGCGTTTAAATTATAAAGTCAAATTTCTTAAGTCATATTTGATATTTACATCAGTTTTATAACAACCAAAGTTAAAATAGTTTCTTGATTATGCTATGATATGCCACAATGCGTTAGGAAAATACCTTTAATAACCTTTTGCTATCCAAGTATTAGTCGGTTGATTAAAAGAAAGTCAGTTGTACATTTTGTTGATGAGTCGAGCAGAAAGGTCTGAGCGCTCCATATTTTGAATATAAAAGTATTTTTTAGCTCCAGAGACATCCTATGCTACAAATGATCGAGCATCCACTATAGGAATGCTATGTTGTTGCATTTTGAGCACTAAAAGTTTTTCTTTTTAAAAAAAAAAGTTTATCTGCAATTTTTAAATATAGTCTAATGCATAAAAAAGGCTTAAATGAAATGTCTGCAGAATGTTCCAGTTTTTTGATCCAATTAATCATCAAAACTAATCAATAGATTAATAGCTAAGTAAAACAATGGTTAGCTGTAATATTAAACGCTGTTTCAGCTTTAGGACTGTTCAGTACTTTGTAAGCACACACATGATGCAGTACTGTTTTTTTTTTTTGTGCTTATGTCTCATTCATTGTGTCAGTTGAGGTTGACATCTCACGTCCATCCACTCCATCACCCGTTCCCCGTCAGTCCCACGCAGCGTGGAGGCTAACCTCGACTCTTTAATTCTGTTCTGGGTCTCAGCCTTTGTGACACCCCTGAGCTTCTCCCCTCAGATCCTGAAAAAAGAAGAAGCCATTCCCTGGCCCGGCACCCTGGCTATCGTTCATTCCTACATTGCATACAAAGAAGGTGAGTCTTCCTCAGGGTTCCTTCGGGGGCTTGAAATCCTCAAGAACGCTTGAATTTCAAGTTTGGAAAGTGCTTGGTTTCTGTTTAAAGACATCGAAAGTGCTTGATATTCAAACTAAGTTTTGTACTAAAGTGCAGTGTAACCTTTGAGTAAATGTTTAAATTTGTAAAGCGTTATTCACAGTTTAAACCAGATATTTAAATTGGTCCTGTTGTGCATAATTCACGTTTTGGAGGTTTTTTGTATTTCTGTTTGTGTTTCTAATGGTTCTACAAATGGAACAAGCACTTAAAAAAAATAAAATCCCAGCTGGTTTTTGGCAATAAGTGTTTTTTGGTGTCTGCAAAATGACCAGTTTTCATTAGTCGCAATCCAGGGGCACTGCAGCTGTTACCGAGCAACCCGAGCAGAGTTTCAGTCGGTTTCACCAGCTGGTTTTGTCTTTTAATAGACGGAGCAGAGTTCTGTTGTTTTTACATGTTTGATCAAGCTTTGTGTATTTTAGTGCGATTCTAATGCAGAGTTATCAAATAAATTTGTAATTTAAGACATTTTTGCCTGCTTTTCAAAAAAGGAACATTTTAAGTCAATTCAGCACTGGGTTTTTTTCTGTCTTGGATCAGAAAATGGACCAATATTAAACCTCGAATATCTGTATCAATACCGGAAGTGAACAAAGTGGCTCGGTGCAGCCCTACCTAGCATCCAGAAACAAATTACTACATTCTTGTTGTTTTTGCAGGAGGCTCTACTTCTGCTTTTCAAAGATGTGCGGTTGTGTAATTGCACATCTGTTTGTAGCCAGTTTAATGTGTAAGTGTTGAGTTGGCCAGGAGCAGCTTGAATTTGAATTTAAACCTGCAAAGGGCCCTAAGACAGCCGAGGCAGAACTCAGCAGACTAAAATCTTATTATTTAAGCATTATATTGTGCAAAAAATTTAATGAACACATTTTGTGTAGCTTATCAACCTATCCTAACTTGTTCAAGGAGTCATAACTGGTCACCTTTAAAGGTCTTATTGTCTGAAGATAAATCTGACTGAATTTCTCACTTTACACAAGTTGCACTTATTAAAATTATATATTTGCTTAACTGTTGCTAAACTGCTGAGACTGTCCTGTGTTTCAGCTAAAGAAGAGGAGAAGCAGAAGCTGATGAAGTGGAGCTCGGAGCTGAAACTGGAGCGCGAGCAGCTGGAACAGAGAGTCAAGCAGCTCAGTAACTCCATAACGGTGAGAAACATCAGCTTTTCAACAAGATGTCTAAGCTTCTTTTAAGTCAATAACTCTTGTGTATAAATGAAAATATATTCTAGTATCACTTGCACTTATAATAAGACATTTTTCTCATAAGTGGGGAAAAAATGTTTTGTACTAGTCACTAAAACTCCTTGTTTAATAGAGGTGATAACTTCCTGTGATTATACATTTCTGCTACATTTCCTCTTAATTTTGTCAACAAATTTTTGCTTGTCTGATCTGATTCTGCTGTTTCTTTCTGCAGAAGTGCATGGAGACCAAAAACACCATCCTGGCTCGTCAGAAGGAGATGCAGCTTTCCCTGGACAAAGTCAAGCATCTCATTCGCCTCATCCAAGCCTTCAACTTCAACCAGGCCCTGGCGGAGACGGAGGGAAAGGACGTCCAAGTGCAGGACGTCGCTCGGATCGTTGTCGGCTCCGGAGCTGCAGCTGAAGTTGGCGCGGTGGGGAAGCCGGTGGTGAGCAGCTCTCTGGTCAGCAGCAAACAGGAGGAGCAGCAGACAGAAGGAGCAGCAGCAGCAGCAGCAGGAGGAGGAGGAGGAGGAGGAGGCGGCAACAGCAGCACAGTGCTGACTAACTGCCCTGCTGCTGGGGCAGGGGTTGCGCCGGGGTTAGGGGGTCACACAGAGACCACTCCTTGTGTCGAGGTTCAGCCCAAGCCTGAGACTGAGGCAGCTCCTGCAGCTCCTGCAAATGTTGCCACCACTAACGGTACGACAGAGCCGCCCCCATGCCCCGCCCACAGCCCCGCTGCCGCCGCCGCTGAGAACAAGATATCTGCCGTGAACCCTGCAGAGACGGCGGTGGAGAAGAAGCAGGAGGAGCTCGGCGACGGCAGCAACAACAGCAAAACCTCAGAACCCTCCCAGCATTCTTTGCCAGCTCTGCTTAGCAGTTTGGACGATAAAAAGTAACGCTGCGTCCCTGTGGCTGCAGGAAGTCAAACATATATATTAAAAAAAAAGACCTTTGCTTGCACCGCACGGTGCCCTGAAGTTGCCAATCTGTATAAATGTTGTTTGTTTGCATTGTATTGTCAGACTGTGTCAATGGTAGATGTACAGCCCAAGTCACATGACTCTGGGAAGACCCGGGTCATCATGCCAATTAGTGATAGACGTCATGGAGGGAACACTCAAAGGAAGATTTTCTTCATCATCACACCGGTGTGTGCCTGTTACAGTGGCCCCTGTGTTCTGTTGACGGCTCCAAGGAGAACCCAGAACATGGAACCAAACATCTGTCGGGGGGAGCTGGTCCAAGAAGCAGTGTTGTAAACGTTTGTGTACTGAAAAGAGAACCTGTTCGCGTCCTCGTCCCGTTGACCCTGACGGGAATGGCGCTCCACAGTCCGAGTTCTCGATTAATTTCCTCACCTGAAACCAAACCAGAACCCAATCAGGACCGATCTGTTCCAACCCAAAGGTTTCAATTTGATTCAAGCTGTCATCACAAAACAAAATTGATGAGGCAAATGTGACCATGAAGTGTGTTTTCAAAAGTTGATGTTTGTCACCCATTACTTCCCCAGTCTGCTCTCATCAGGCTCCGCCCACTTTTGGTCAGACTCAGTCCATTTTCTGGTTAGACTGCCCATATCCTGCATCAGCTCAGCCTAAATTTGATTGGATGAAAAGTTATGACACACCCTTTAGTTCAGGAGGAGTTGCAAACATTTAACTTTTTTTTTTTTGTTTTGTATGAAAAGAAACAAAATGAGTCAACCACACGAGGCCACTACAGCCTTTTGTAGATCTGTAGAAAAGTGTTGCGACGAATCATAAATTTAAAAACCGAAGTCAAACACCTTATTGGATTATTTGACTCAAGGGTGTCCAAAGTGTGGCCAGGGTGCCGTTTGTGCCCCTTGACTTCAAGTCAAGAATGCTAAAAAATTTGGCTAACAAAATGGAAAACAATTGATGAGCCAAAAGAATTGCCATGTGTCAGTTCTTCTTTTAATAAGAAACTATTTTATGTTTTGGATTTTTAATATTATATGGATTCAATTAAAATGTTATTTATTTTTAGTAGGTAAAACAAAATTGCAATTATCAAATTTTTGTATTTTAAATGTCTTTAATTTTGTGGCCTGCTCGTAGTTTAAATTTGCTAGTTTTGATCCCCAGGACATTATGGAAAAGCTCTCCTCTGTCTGGTGCAGGAAGTCCAAACCATATATTTCCAAACTTTTATCTTCAGTATAAGTTTTGACTTGAGCTACGTTTGTTGAGTTGCTTCGTCTATATAGGGGATTTCACCTTGTCACACAGTTCAGGGAACGTTTCAGGGTCCCAAAGTTCCCACCAATCAGTGAAGGAAGGTCTAATGTAGATCCAGAACTGGGTTTCCTTTGAAAGTGAACTCGCACTGAGTTACAAAGTTCCTTTGAGTCATACTGAAGCCTTTGAGACTTTAAATTAATCCAAAAAGAGTCCAACTCCGTCTGTTGACCCTGTCGCCCACCGTCATCACCTTCCTTGCAGTCCTAGGTTTTGTACCAGGGTCTCCCAGTGAAGGCTGGGTGCAGCCCTCTGGTAGACTGAAGATGTTCCCTGATGGACACCGGGTTGAACCCCGATTTGGTCCCGGGATGAGGACGAACAGGAGCGGTAGCCTAACAGATGTTCTCAGTGGTGTCGGTCAGTGTAGTGATTGAGTTTTCATTCGTGAGTCGTGTGTGTGAGTGCGTGTGTGTGTCAACTGTGAGCACTAAATGTGAATTTGCAATATTGCAACGTCAACACACACAAACTCTATCTGGGCTGTTTGTTTTTTATAGGAAAAGATATTCAGGTCTTCCTAGTCTCCAGAATAAGTGCTTTCTGTTCCTGAACCTGCTGGACTGGCATCATCATCATCATCATTGCCGTCGTCATCATCGCCGCTGCCGCCGCTGGGCGGCGGTGATCATTTGAATCCTGAACTGCCAAAATCCTAATGTTGTTTCCAAATTCAGCAGGGACTCGTCCTCTTACTGTCCTCAAAGATCAAATCATCAGAAAGATTAAGATGCAAAGTCCCAGCCGAGACAGGAGAGCGTTGGGAACAATAACCACAGCAGGACGTGTTCCCGTCTGGAAAAACGGAGGGATCTGTTGGAGGTCAAAGGACGACAACACAATTCCTGAGATTAAAGCACAAGCTTGCTGCATTACAAAGAAGTGCTGAAGAGCTTTTTGTACGTTCCCGTGGAGTTAAACAGAGTATGCATCTCTTCATTGTCGTGTGACTTCCCCTTACATTGCCAATATTTCCCCTCGGTGCGACTCTGAGGCTGGAGTCCGATTAGGAGTTTGTCCCACTGAGTCTGGCTTGGAGCCGGAACATGAAGCCGATGGTTATCGGAGCAACTGATCGGAACATTGACGAGGTGAATAGAGATTAAAGTTGCCTCCATTTATGCTGGAGACTTTAGTTTTACTTGGGGTTCCTTTGGTTCTTCGACATGCTCACTCCTTCCTGAATGTGAGGAAATGTTTCAGATTTTTTAAGGAGAATTCCCTCTAAAGATTCTTCTTGTTACACAAAATCAGTCCAGAAATGTATATCGCCAACTCAAGTCTTCAAGAGCTATCGTCCTGCTGTAACTTTTAGATCCATCCCTGCTCCAACACACCTGAATTACCTCCTTGTCATAAAGTACTGCTATGTTACTTTTTACCTTGAGATAACGAGGCATTTGTTTGATTCTTGTATCTTGGAGCAGGGATGCATCTAAAGTCTAACTTGAGGACTGGAGGTATGCCTTGTTTCTACTGAGTGGTGCTGCTCGGGTCTCTGTTTGAACAGACCTGTACCACAACCTTCCTGGGCTCCCTTCAGTTGTACATCTATGGGACAATAGTTACAGTTAGAGCAGAGATACCTGTGTCACATCACAGTCCATTTGGAGGATATGAGATAAACATATGCAAGTCATGTTTGTTGTTGCCTTGCAATATTGTGTTGAGGTTTAACCCTGCCAGCCCAGTGAGTCCAACTAGCAATGGAAACACTCCTTGAGAATGTAGGACTGTACAGTCGAGTATCATATACACCTGTTATGTACCTCTCAGTCGAAATTAGGCAAAAAAAGATGCTTCTCTGCTCCAACAAGAAGAATCCCTGTTGGTTACTTCCAACAGGAATGGAAGGGCTTGTCCACTAAATACAACCTAATTCCTTAGCTAAGGAATTGTTATAAGTGACAATTCCTGAGCTTGTCACTTAAGACAAGCCAAGGAATTACCTATTTACCTTGTCATTAAGAACTGCAGAGGTCTGGTAATGAGTCATTTGTTTGATTCTGGTGTCTTGGAGCAGGAATGCATCAAAATTAGTACTTGATGAATAGACATATGCCTCTTTACCACTGAGCGGTATGTACTATTTTTGTAATATTTCTGTAGTAAAAGCAGCCCATACAACGACCCACACCTCACCATCCCTAGGTGTTCTTCAGTTGTACGTCTGTGGGTCAGTTAGACTGGCGCTATTGGTGTTTCACAACACAGTCAGTCCATTGTTGGGGGACACAAGAAATTCTAGTAAATCACGTTTGTCGTTGCACTTGTATGAGGCAGCATTAGACGTTTGGGTTTGGCCCCACCTATCCGGTGAAAGTCCAACTTGTGGAGGGAACACTTGAATATACCGGATCATGCCTCTGTGCAAACAAAGCAAAAGAGGCATCTCTGCTTCAACACACCTGAATAACTTTCTTAGCTTGTCGTGAAGTACTGCAGAGGCCGAGTAACGAGCCATTTGTTTGATTCTGGTGTCTTGGAGAAGTGTTGCATCTGAAGTTGAAGTTGCGGACTGGAGCTATGCCTCATTTCAGCAGAGCTGTGCAGTTTGGTATGCTTCTTGTCTGTTTCCAATGAAGAAGCGGCCCATAGAATCAGTCCGTACTGCACCATTCCTGAACTCCCTTCAGTTGTAGGTATATGGGACAATGGCACTGTTATGGTGGAGCCACTGGTGTCATACAGCCCATTGATTGGGGGACAGAAAAACATCATTGCTCGAGACATACTAGCTCTCAGCTTTGGGCATTTGGGTTTAACTTCCTCTGCCCAGTGAGAGTCCAGCTGGTATTGAAAACACTCTCCATCATGGATAAACCAGACAACAAAATAGCGTATTGGACTGTACTGATCAACAGGGTACCGTTCAATGAAAGCGAAGCTGGAGAGTCCCCAAGCTCAACAGACAAATATTCCAACATTTCTTGGATTGCTGCTCTCCTAGAAAGACCCATTTCCTCTCATGATGGTGGGGGTGAGCTCCTGATTGGGTGGTGATCTGTTGTGGGCGTCTTAGTTTTTATTTAAATTCATATCATGCAGACTCTTGTGAGTGAATCAGCATATCCCAATGGCACCTGGTTTTCTCCCATCAGCTGCACAGACTTCCTTCATTCCAAACACCCCAGAGAAATATGTGTGTGTCTGTTGGGTGTGTCCTGTAGAGTTCAGATGATCTGACGGGGGATGAGCCAGACAGGAAACCCAAGTATCCCCGCTTCCTTTTGGGTCCCACTTGTCATGTTTAAATCGTGGTTCTCATTTCGGCCCGTAGATCCGATAGGTCATCAGGTCTCTAGATCCTTCCCTCTGTACAGTAGGTACCTTTGAGTGCCTTTCTTCAAACAGCAGATAATATTTGTCTCTTGACTTGCACTGTGACTCGTAAAACTTAACAAACCCTCCGGGATCGCTCCCCTCCTGACACCGAGCCCTGTCCGCCCCAGAGGAAGCTGCGCCCTACTCCGCAGGCTGCCAGGAGTCGATGCAAGCTCGCCACTTCACACCAACCCGTTTGATTTGACCACATAGTGTTTTGTTGTTCATCCCTAGAAGTTGCCTTAAATGTATTTTATTTTCTGGTGAAATGTTCAGATTTTGGGTCAGAGGGGGTGGGGTTTGTGCAGAGGCAGTCTGAGATCTCACTTTGATCTGTTTGTCATGCACTTTTAGTTTGATCAGTATTATCAGAGCAGAGATGGGTTATGTTTTATTTGAAAAAGCCCCCCCCCCCCCCCCCACCCTCTCTTTCTTCTTGTCTCTTATTTTGAAGGAGGGATGAGTTTGCAGGATCAGGTCACATAACCTGGAACGCATTGAACAAACCTGGGCCCAGCCAGCATCACCTGTGCTCGCTGTGGTGCAGCACATGCCTTCTTATGCAAGTTTTTATACCAACCTTTTTTATTATGCATTGCTTCGGTTTTTTTATGTTTTTATGTGAAACTTAAGTCACCTTTTTTCTGTTTTTCTCTGAACATTCTGGCATCTCAATGCCAAACGTGTGCATGTGTTTACACATTCAGGTAGCCATTCAGGGTGGGTTTTCCTGACAGTGCCGAGAGGTTTGCTTTTATCAGGGGGAGGGTATTCTGTTGCAGTACTGCGAGTGACCACCGGGGGGCGGACTGGAGCGAGCGTTAGGAGCCATCTCGGCTCTCCTTTTAGCTTAGCTTTTGTTTAACTCTGTCGTTGCTGCGTGGAAACGGGGCATTGAGATCTAAAATGCTCCTTAATTGAAGTCTGGAAGCAAATATATCCAAAGAACTCTGCATATCATCGGGGTGTGAGTTTTCTGCGTCGTCCATCGACGGTTTGTGGGACACACTCGGGGGCTTCCGCGTGGGTCCTGGGGAGGAGGTTTGCTTTCCATCTTTCGGTTTTAAAGCGATCAAGTCATGATTGTGGCCTTCTAGTATTCTGTGGGTTCATGACGTCATTCACCTGTTGTTCCCGCTCAGCATCCATCTGTCCACCCATTTATTCTGTCTGGATCCTCTACACCTGCAGCTTCTTACCTCATCCACAGCTGAGTCCATCGGGGGTGTGTTGAGTGCAAAAAATCAGAAAAATACTACAAAAAAAATAAAAAATGAAAAGAAGTCTTTTTCTATCTTCCATTTGGTGAGATGCATTGTAGCGATCAGAATAAAGAATAAAGTTCACCTGGTGTGCTGAATAATGTGTAAATTGGTTATTACACAATCTGAATATTTGTATAATTGTTTGTATTTTTTCATAATGATTTTAGAAAGGAATGTGTTTATTTTTTTGACTTCTGTTCCAGATGTGTCTTCTGTTGGCCTGACATTGTGACTGGTCTGGTGGGATTCTTACCTCTGTATTGAGCCTCTTCTGTGATGAATTCTTTGTATGCAGTGTTTAGGAAATACTGTAGGGAACATGGGGAGGAGTTGATATTAGGAGCATTTGATCAATTTGTATTTATTTATTTTATCATTTTGTTAAAATAAATTGTGAAAAACAAGGATCATCTTCTGAAATTATTTATTTGCAATCTACCTTTAAGGTAATGCTAAGAAAAATAAATTGACAATGCTAATTTAAATTTAATGAGGAGACATTAGTATTTTTAGTAAAAAAAAAAAAATGCCAAAAGCTCTTATTCTCAGTTTTGTGTGCATTGAACAATAAATAAAGCGAATTTGTTCTTTTAATTGACCTTTAAAACAGACCTTTCTTGGTCTCAGTGAATTCTTACCTAATTAAATAAAAAAATAAAAAATAAAACTGAAGTTCCAATAAAATAATAGAGATACTGTATCAACTTAATGTAGGTTTGAAGAATCAATGTTTTTTATGAGGAAATAGAAATGAGGCCAAATTTAAGAATAGCTAGTTCATAATAAAAAACAAAATAAAAGATTATATTAATAAAACAGAAATCGTCTGTGGAGGCCATACTTAAGGTTTCTGATTTTGTTTTTTTAGCTCACTAATACTGGGTGGTTTTTCACTTTCGACCTGAATTCTAGCTATGTGGGCGGGGCCAGGAAACGCATGAAAACATACATAGAAATAAAAGTTTCAATCAACAATAGCGCGTATTTCCGCCCCTTGCTGAAGGTGCTAGTATTAAGTAGCTACATGTCAGTGTTACATCTCATCAGCAGAGTGGCGCAGCGGAAGCGTGCTGGGCCCATAACCCAGAGGTCGATGGATCGAAACCATCCTCTGCTATGATTTTATTTTTTGTGCTGTTGTTTATATCGTTAAATGAGCAATTTGGTGACTTAAATGACTTAAAACAAATTAAATTTGAATGTAGATTCCCCAGACTGGACCTTTGCTGTTAACGCGAGTTAACTGTCTGGAAGATGATCTCCGTGATGAAAAATAACCAATCCCCGAAAATGAAGAGGTTTCTTTTTTTTTTTTTAAATAAAATTTCTGAACCTAATTTTTAACAACTAAATATTTATACATTTTCCACGTTAAAACCATTTATTTGTCCTTACAGTGACGTCACATGCTTATGGATTGTGGGTATTGCAGTGCGAGGTTCTCACTCTCAGCTGTTTCCTGCGTGTTTGTTCCACGCTAGAAATGGGAGCCAGAGAATGTTGCGTGAATAACTGTGGGAGCAGCTCCCACGACCACCGGGGCAGGATGCCCGTGAACGGCCTGAGCTTCCACTGCTTCCCTGCGTGGAGAACGAAGGAAGGCGACTTTATATCGCAGCTAACGAGGCGGCGGAGAGAGGCGTGGGTGACCGCCGTGGGCCGCAGAGAAATCACCTTCGACCACATCCCGTCCTCCATGAGAGTCTGCTCCAGACACTTTGTCTCAGGTGAATCCAAACAGGTTTTATTTCTCTGTTCAGCGCGAAGAAAGAGGATCCAGAGACGTATTAGCATCAATGCTAATCACAGCACAGCCGCCATATTGGTCAGGGCGACTCTCCTTTCATATAATTTCTTCTTAATGCCATATAAATGTATCTTCACATTAGCGTGCTGGGTTTCATGCTAGAAAAAGGTGGTGACATAATTTATTATTTAATACTCATAAAAACTGATACATTTCTGACTTTTTGTCGGTTCATATAATGGTAAGAAAAAAATATCTTGTTGCAAAGCAACATTGTTACCAACTTTGCACCATAGAGCAGTTTACCTTTTCCCCATGTCTGGGGAGAAACCCCACACAGTAGCAGTAGAAGCTATTTTTATTGTTTAAAAAAACAAAAACATTTTAATGCATTAGAAATGTTAATTATGGACAGAAACTTTCTGTTGATGCACAAATATTTATGGAAGCACTTTCAATTGGGCAACTCTTTGAAAACAAGCAAAACATTTTTAGTCTTTGTCCCATTATAGGAAAACCAGCGTATGAGATGCTGGACAAAGATCCAGACTGGGTGCCGTCGCTACACCTGGGTCACGATGGCGTTGATGAATGTGGAGAAAAGTCCTGGAGTAAAAGAAGAAGGTTGTTTTCTGTTGAGGAACCAGGAGAAGGTGGGTCTCAAATATTAGTTTCAAAAAACCTGCATCAGAAATAGTCTGACGCATGTAAAAACCTCGATGTGAGAAGACAGTGAATCTCAGGGTGCGTAGATCAGACCAAACCCGAGTTCCGGGGTCATAATGGGTCATAATGTTATGCCTCATCTGCGTATAAACTGAGATTATTTTCAGTTCCTGCACAGAGCATTGCTTAGTGGCTTTACCGCTTGAGTTCTGGGTACAAAGTATTTTCAGACATTTTTTGTACAGTTTCGGCTTAATTACTGTTTTGAGGATGTTGTTTTAACAAAAGGCATTTTTTGAGTCTGTGTGCTCCACTTCTCTATTAATTGATTACTGAATTAGTTGATTATTTCAATAATCAATTTATGACTAGGTTGAAGTAAAAGCCGTCGAGCATTAAATGTTGTGTTAGTCAGCTGTGTTGACGGTGAACTGACTGAATGTCGTCCCAGTGCGTCCAGGAGCAGATGGTGCTGCTGAAGCCAGGAAGCCTCCTTCGCCTGCTTGGAAAGAAGTGAAATCTGCTCTGCAGTCTCTTCTGGACGGTAAAACCGTCATCAGGCAGCAGCAGGGAGACGATGAGCAGAACCAAGGCGCTGAGACGAAGACCGACTCCGGCTTCCAGGTACTACAGGCGTTTGATTAGGTTAAAACTGTTTGTTTTTGTTTGTTTGTTTTTTAAACTACAGATATAAGCAATCAATAAGCTAATCTAAAGTTGATGAATCTTATCTATGAATTAATAATTAATTATTAAGCTCTGAAATGTTTTCTTATTTAAAAAAGGTATTGAATTATTTATCTACTTTTGAATGTACTTATAGATTAAATAAAGTTTTGTTTTGCTCTCTCTTTGGTTTGTAAAAGCTCCAGAGCCTAGTGGATGATATTAGTTAATCGATTTGCAGCTAGTCTCTATTACCTAATAATTTTCTATTTTAAACTGATATTTGGGGTTCTATGAAAGAGAAGAAGTTTGACTAACCCTCCATTTTTTCCAGGACTTCTTCAGGAACGCTCTTCAGTCGTCTCTGGAGGCCTCCATCCAGGCCAGAGCTCGCTCTAAGAGTCGGCCGCCGTCCACAGAGTACGAAGTGGAGCTGAACGTGGCGCTTCCATCTTCTGCAGAAGAACCGGCCGCCCCTCTTCTTGTGCCGTCCTGTTCTGCATCGTCGTGTGCGAACTGCTCCGTGATGCTGCAGAGGATTCGAGAGCTGGAGCAGAAGCTGTTTGAAGTCGTCAGCAAACATAAGAGCAAAGTGCTGAACAGACCCTCTGGGGTTTGGGGGGAGTGTAAGTTTCAGGAAGCTGAAGAGCTGAAATTCAGAAATTCGGCTCAATGGGAGAAATCCCAGATCTGATTCTGAAGTGAGATGAGAATCGAGTGTCAAAGCCAAGCTAGTTGTGTCCCAAATTAATATTTCCTCAAAATTCTACATTCAAATACTTCGTTATGATTTTCTATCTCATTACTAATCAGTTAATCCAGAAAATAATCAACATATTAGTCCTACACTGTATTGATAAGTCAAGCAGGAGATAAACTTTTCACATATTAGAAGTATTTTTTAGCTGGAGATGCATCCATTGCCTCAAATGACCAAAACATTCACTAAAGGCAATAAAATGTTTATTATGTGAAAAGGAATTTAATCATTTGCTTATAAACGTCTCGTAATGCATTCCTGATATCATGTAAAAATTCTTAAGTGGTTAAATTAAAAACTTGAAGAATGTACCAGTTTTTAGATTATTAATCGATTAACCGTTAGAATAATTGATTGATCAATATTGTGTGCATTTCGGGTCAAGAATGATCGATCAGTGGAAACGTTTGAGTTTATGAACCCATTTTCCAGTTCCCGTCTCGTCCTTCTGATGGTTCTGTTTGTTCTGTCTCCGCAGCAACGGCTCACATTGGACCAGTTCAAGGTGAACCGGACTGTGAAGCCGCTCCTTCCACCTTCCGTCCTCCCCAACCTCCCCGACCTCTTCAACACCGCCGCCGCCAGTGCTTCAGGAAGGAGTGGCTCAAGCTCTTCCCGTTCCTCCGGTACTCTCCGAGCCTCAACGTCATGTGGTGCTACGTGTGCCGCATTCACGCCGACTCGTTCAGCCAGAACCACCGTCTGATCAAAGGCTCCAATCATTTCACCAAGTCCAACATCAAGAAGCACACTAACACCGTGTACCACCAGCAGAACGTGCAGCGCTTCCTGTGGAGCAGCCGCCCACTGTCCGAGGATCCAACGGATCCAACGAATCCAACGGATCCAACGGATCCGCCCGCTGAGCCACAATCATAACAAATACTTTCTGATCTTTCCGGTGACTCTGCAACTTCTGAAAGAGTGAAACTGGAGCTGGGTGGTTTTTAAGGGTTTTTAAGGGTTTTAGAAAACATGTTTGTGTTTTTTCACCAACACACTCCTTTGTTTACATATTCAAGATGGCGCCATCTTGCTTGAGGAGCGTGTTCTACAGCTCTGTATTTATTAGAGCGTTTTTTAAGTGCATTAAAGAAAAACATTAATGAAATTGATATTTGTCTTTCCTCCCTCTGTTTGTGCTAATTGCTGATTTTTATTATTACTAAGAGTTAAGAAAATTGTTCTTGAGCTCAGATTAGTTCTTGTGGATCAGTTTGGATGGGTCAAAGTGAGCCAGGTTCAAATTAAGAGAACCAAACCAATCAGAAACCACAAGCTCACTCTTTAGTTTTTACTACATGATCAACACCAGCAGGGGGCGCAAAAAGTCACTTCAGATGCAGGATATATCCGCTCTGACATCGGAATCGGTCCGATAAATAAAAATGATCCGATATTAACAAGCGATATTTATTACCAGGTCATTTGTATGTTGAAATATTTTAGGTCAGACTGATATTTTTATGCCCTGCGACAGACTGGCGACCTGTCCAGGGTGAACCCCGCCTCTCGCTCCTCCCGACCCCGTTAGGGAGAAGGGTGCTCAGAAAATGGATGGATGATATTTTTTATTTTAGTTATGAGAATAAATGTTGCAAAATGTAATAGTGCTGTTTGTCATGTGGCGTTTGGTCATGTGACACTATCTGGTTCTCCAGTGACCATATAATTGTTTAAATTAGATGCACAAAACTAAATTTCCTGAATAGAAACACACTCATCTCCTTGAGGAGGAGCTTTGTCCACCTAGGTGTTTTGCACAGCCATGGAGATTGGAGCATTTCTCAAGCATGCATAAAAGAATCATAGCATCCCTCCAGGTATGTTTTGATGACGGAATATAAGTATAACATGATGTGAAGCTTAAAAAGTCCTGCCAAATTATACATTTACATTTGAGGGGCCCCTAAACTGGGTTCTGCCCTGGGGCCGGCTTTCTCCTAATTCCGGCCCTGCAGGAGTACTAAGTGATTAAATTAGATATTTATTACTTGTTTTCAGTTTTAGAAATCATAGAAATACTATAGGGAAAAATCCAGATGTGTTTATCTGCCCCAGATGATCAGGGTAACCTCAGCACAGTTTGGGGAAATTTACAGATAGTTTTCTTGCTGCAGATCAGTTTACAGCCCATATTTAACCTGCAGGATATAAATCCGTTTAACGTCCATTCACAGCGGGCGGCGGAGCCCCGTCCAGCCGCAGCCCGGTGCTCTCCGACCGGACTCTGCAGCGGATTCTCCCCGTTAACTTCAACACTCGCGCAGCTGCTTTCTTCCGCCTCTCCATGTCATTTCCTGTGATAAAAATGGTGGCCACAGCTAAAGAAGGCGACTGAGTCGGTGCAAACAATTTAACGCCAACTTTGCCGCCGCAGAGCCAGCGGCCGGAGGAGGAAGAGGAGCAGAGAGGCGCTTCAGCCCGGGCAGCAGCTCGGCGTCCCCGCTGCGGCTCTGGTCCAGGTGGGTCCGGCTCTGTGGCCACCGTGGCCACCGAAAATGGCTTCCGAAAACAGCAGGCAGATCGCCAGCAGCCTGCAGGTCCTCTGGTGCAGGGAGGAAAAACAGAGTGGCGCAGATCTGCGCTCAGCACAGCCGCAAAGTGCGCAGTTACCCGTGGATTTGACCGGAGGTGACGCACAAAGTTAAAGAGAAGTTTTAGTTTGGGAATGTTTAATGTTGCTGAGATTATTTCATCATCACAGCTTCACAGTGAAACTCGTTTTCATTTTGGGCCATTTTCAGCTCCTGGATGTCATTAAACAGCCGGCTGCTATAAAAACCCTGAAACAAACTTAATATATGAATAAATCCCTGTTTCTGCATTAGATATGTTCTTAAAATCAAACAGTGCTTCATGTCTTTTCACATTAATCAGACCCTTCAATCCGTGATTGTTTTTGATTTTTTCAATCAGAATCACCTTTTTATATTAAAAAAAGTATTTTTGCAAAAAATCTGCTTATATAAATAATTTTGTTAAGTTCAGTCATGTTAACTTGATTACATCAGTGACTAAAACCCAATATTTCTTATTGCATTGTTTTTATCTGTAGTGTCTAAACTTATCTTTGAAATCTGACCAGCAGGGGTCGCTGTTTGTCCACCTCTAAATGTTTCCTCATCTGTGTTTATTTTCTTAATTTGCAGATTCAGGTTTTCCTACCAGAAACCAGGAAGACGTTTCCTGTGATGAAGATGCACAATCAGCTTTCAGCAGCAGTAACACCTGAACCATGAGCTGGATTTCTACCGACATGGTTCCATCATGACCCAACAGCCATCGGACCTCTGGTGTGAGTGTCTTCTTCTTCTCTTTCCTTCAGTTTTTAGGTTCTTCTTCTGATGATGTTTTCGTTCTCCAGACTGCGAGGATTGTCTGAAGTATTTCCAGGAGGAGTGTCCGTCCCACGGGCCGCCGCTCTTCATCCCCGATTCGCCGGTGGCCCCTGGACCGGCCAACAGGGCGGCTCTCACGGTCCCGTCAGGCCTGGAGGTTGTCACCCAGGGGGGCCAGGTAGACGTTCGCTGCACGGATGCAATCTTCCCAAAGGGGGCGCTGTTTGGTCCGTATCAGGGTGAGCTGGTTTCCAAGGAGGAACCAGCCAGCTCCTTCTCCTGGATCGTAAGTTCAAACCAGTCAAGCTCCAGTTTGTGACCAGTTTAGGACAAAATGAAGCCTAAAGTGGCTGTTTGGTGTTTCAGATTGTTGGTCTGAACAATTCGTCTCAGTCCATCGATGGCGGCGATGAGACCAAAGCCAACTGGATGAGGTAAACTTTTCTCTGAAAAATGGAAATTATTGAGCTTATTTTCATTTATCATGTGATTAATTATTGACAGACTTTCTCCCTCATGGATAAAAAACTGGGTTCTGGTTCCACAGGTTCTGGATTCTGGTTCTGATAACCCATTTTACATCGATAATATCTTAGATAATGGCTCTGGCCTGATCCTCAGGTTTGTTCGGACCTCGTCAGAGGACAGCGACAGGAACCTGACGGCCTTCCAGCACAGCGGAAACATCTACTTCAGAGTCTGCAGGAGGCTGGAGGCCGGAGAGAAGCTCAGGGTTTGGTACAGCGACGACTACATCCAGAAACTTCAGTGCGTCTCTCAGGACAGCATCAATCGCAACCTGGACACAGGTAGGGCTGCAGCTCATGATCCATTTAGTTATTCTGTTATTCTGATGATGAATCAGATGTTCAAAGCTTGGCACATTCTCAGATTCTCCATTTAACCACTGAAGCATTGTTATATAATATTAAAAATGCTTTAAAAGATGCAAATACAAACATAATTCTGTTCTGGCTAAAACATATTTACAGACACGTGTTTTACTTTAAATGCAAAATACATATGTATTTATTTTTTCAGTTTTGTCTCAATCACTGCTTTGAGTTTATTGATTTTGCAACAAATGGCCATATACTCCAGTTAAATACTAATCAATTCCTAAATTAGCGGATGACTATCAATCAAATTCAGACTTTTATTATTCCATTGATTATTCTGACAATTAATACATTTAAAAAATTGGTACATTTTTAGATTTTTCATTTTTAAATCTTTCTATGACATCGGAAAGACATTAAAAGATCCAAATAATAATTTAAAAAAAATAAAATAAATATTTTATTGCCTAATTAGCAGTAAGATAGCCTTCCTTTACTGAATAAACTAGATGAATAATAATATTAATTACAATTAACCCAATTAACTGTTTCAACCTAGAAAAAGGTGAAACATGCAGCAGATTAATAAGAACTAAAACTTTGATCCCTCTTGTGACCTTGTCCACCAGATGGCGCTGTGTTATCGATTATTTTGCATCTCTGTCTGATTGGTACCATTTGAACTTTCTGCCCACCTGTACTGTGGTTTGCCTTTTGACCCCCATGTGAACAGCTGAAGACCTTTTAGGCTTTTATCTGTAAGCAATGGATCTGGTTCTGTTTCAGGTTCTGAGACATCAACAGTTCCCCAAAGCCTCCATAAGGAGCTTCCAGCTCTCAAACTGTGCACCGGCAAGCAGTCCTGTGAAGAAACAGACGGTCAGCCTCCTGCCAAGAAGAAGAAGATTGACCTGATTTTCAAAGACGTTCTTGAAGCCTCTCTGGAGGACTGCACCAAGCCCAGGTCCGGTTCCAGCCCCACTGTTCCCGACTTAAAGGAGGAGAAGGCTGAGGACAACCTGACCAGCGGAGAACCCTCCACCTCCTTCTGCCCCAACTGCGTCAAACTGAAGAGGAGGATTCTGGAGCTGGAGGAGGAGCTGTTTCATCTCAGAAAGCAACAGGGGAACTCGGTTGGTCCATCAGGTTCTGAACTCCAACCGGATCCACCACATCCCGAACAGGGTCCCATTGAGGACTCTCAAGGTGGGTCCAAATACATGTGCTGTACGATGCAGTGACGAGCCACAAATCATTTAGACGTGGGAAGAAGTTACTTAAGCTTTAGAGGTGAAGATAAGAGAGCAGCAGGTTGGTTTCATACAAAGTTGGACAAGAAGAAACTTCCTGGAGAACCTGGCCCACTATCTCAGTTTCCATTAACCATACAAATTGGAGTTGTAAAAATAAATTTGCTAAATGGAGACGCCTATTAAAAACAAGCAAACACCTTTGTCCACCAGATGGAGCTGTTTCTGCACTGGGATCTGGTGTTTCGTGTTTCATACGTTGGATCAGATGCTAAAACGGGTCCGGTGTGTTTTGGCCTTCACACTTTTCTTTCAGGAAAAGATTAAACAAGTTTGTGTTTTCAGGGATGGAACCATTGACGCCCAGTCAGATGGTACTGGATGAAGATGACCCGGAAGTGGACTCGGCTGACGAGTCGGTGTCAGCCGACCTGGTGATTTCCCCAGAGGACTCGTCAAAGCCTTACTCTGGATCAAGCAGACGAATTCGCCGCTTCAAGCAGGAGTGGCTGAAGAAGTTCTGGTTCCTTCGGTACTCGCCGACCCTGAATGAAATGTGGTGCCATGTCTGCCGCCAGTACACCGTCCAGTCGTCTCGAACGTCAGCCTTCATCATCGGCTCCAAGCAGTTCAAGATTCACACCATCAAGCTGCACAGCCAGAGCAACCTCCACAAAAAGTGTCTGCAGCTCTACAAGCTGCGGATGCATCCTGAGAAGACGGAGGAGATGTGCAGGAACATGACTCTGCTGTTCAACGCGGCGTACCACCTCGCTCTCGAGGGACGGGCCTTTTCCGACCTGCGTCCTCTGGCTGAACTACTGAAGAAGTGCGAACTCAAAATCGTAGATCAGTACATGAATGAGGGCGACTGTCAGATTTTGGTCCGCCACATCGCTCGAGCTCTGAAGGAAGAGTTGGCTGAGAAGATGCGTCTCTCTCCTTTTCTGAGCGTCATTATGGATGCTCAAAACGACGACCTGTTCTCAGATTTGGTGGCCGTTTATGTCCAGTTCACAACCAGTGACAGTTCCCCACAGATGGAGTTCCTGTCCTTAGAGAGAGTGAGCATGCCGAACGTGGATGGGTACCTGCAGCTTCTGGATCGGGCCTTCAGCGTTCTCGGGCTCAGGTTTCAGGACTTGCTGGTTGTAGGTCTTGGAGTGGATGGCACCAACATCTCCTCAGGGATCAGAGGAAGCCTGTATATATCTGTCCAAAAGACTTTTCCTTGGATCCTCTGTCTTCCCATATTAATCCACCGGCCTCATCTGGAGGTGCTGGACGCCATCAGTGGGAAGGAGCTCTCCTGTCTTGAGGATCTGGAGAACAACCTGAAGCAGCTCCTCAGTTTCTACCGCTACTCTCCACGCATGATGGCCGAGCTGCGATCCACCGCTCCGACTCTTTCCGAGGAGACGGAGTTTCTGGGTGACATCAGAGCCGTACGATGGATCATAGGAGAACCAAACGTTCTGAATGCACTCATCAAGGATTACCTGGAGGTTTTGGCACACCTGAAGGAGATCAGCAGCCAAACGCAGAGGGCAGACGCTGCAGCCATAGCCCTCACACTCCTCCAGTTCCTCATGGACTATCAGTCTGTGAAACTCATCTACTTCTTGCTGGACATCATCGCTGTTCTCTCGCGACTGGCCCTCACCTTCCAGGGGGAGCACCTGCTGGTGTCGCAGGTGGAAGCCAGGCTAGAGGAGGCGATTCAGGAAATCGGCCAGCTGGTGGATTGTCCTGGTGAATATCTGCAGGAGTTTGAGGAAAACTTCAGGGAAAGCTTCAATGGTGTCGCTTTGAAGAACCTTCGTGTTGCAGAGTCCAAGTTTCAGTCCATCCGGAAAAAGATCTGCAGCAGAAGTCAGGGGATCCTGTCACAAAGGCTGGACCTGCAGAGCCGCTCCTTCACCAAAGCCTGCAAGGTGCTGGACCTGGACAGCTGGCCCGGCAACCGCGAAGACCTGAAGACGTTCGGTGAGGAGGAAATCCAGCTCATATTCAACCACCTGGACTCCATTCCTTCTGCAGGTCAGGAGGACTGGACGGAGACCAGGAGCAGCCTGCTGGTGGAGTGGAAGGAGCTGAAGGTGGACTACTTCAGCACGAACAGCTTCAAAGACATTCTGATTCACATCTGCAGGTACAAGCAGCGTTTCCCGCTGCTGAACCAGATCTTGCAGGTCGTCAGGGTCCTGCCCAGCTCGACGGCCTGCTGCGATAAAGGAAGAGGCGCTCTGCAGAGGATTTGTAAGAACAACCGTTCCCGGCTCACCCTGGACCAGATGAACGACCTGCTCACCGTGGCCGTCAACGGACCGCCCGTCGCAAACTTTGACGCTAAGCGAGCGCTGGACGGCTGGTTTGAGGAGAAGTCCGGGAGCAGCTACTCTCTGTCGGCCGAGGTGTTGACCAGGATGTCGGACGCTGATCCAAAGTCAGGCCTGCACGGCGGTGACATCAACGCAGAATATCTATAGTAACTGGAAGAAACGAGGCGGAAAACCTTTATGCACTGGAAAGTGATGACAGGAAAATAATTTATTACAGACGGATTGGGAAGGAGGTTCGATCTAAAACAGCTGTGAAAGATGTTAAGGTTCTAATTAGGGATACAAATTATCGACTTCTGAGTTAATATAAAGTTGATTGATTTTATCTATCAACTTATGATTAATTGTTTTCATTCCAGGTCCAACATCCCATTTCAATGGATTTTTTTCTTTTTTTGTAAAAAGAAATGACAAATCACAGATAAAACAGTTGTAACATTCTCATAATATTACAACTGAATTCTGCTAATATTATGACTTTATTCTCATAATTTCATCAAACAAAATATTTGACCTGAATTCAAAGTCCAAATAAATAGAAGCTGTAAAACAAACAACAACAAAAATGGCGGCTCACTAATTATGAAAACAAAAATTAAATCTTCAAAAACCAAAAATAATGAATGCAATCGATTCATCGACCATCCCTGCCTGGAGGCAGCTGTAGATTCTCCTGCGTCCTTTTCTGGATCCTTCTTTGCGTCTTACTGTGGATTTTCTTTGGGGGTTTTTTCCCATTGCTTCCTCCTGTTGGTTCTCCTTTGGATTCTGCTCCGTTTTCTGGATCCTCCGTTTTCTGGATCCTCCTGTGGATCGCTGAAGTTGTGCTCCGAGCTGCACGTGTTGGCAGAAGAAGACGGTCACCAGGAGGAACAATGGGTTGGTGTCAGAGTGAATGTCTGTCTCTGTTTCAGCTGATTTAACAGCAGGACGCTCAGTCTCAGTGCCTGACAATAACACAGTGTATGGATGTGTAAAGGCTTTATAATTCTGTATAGAAACAGTGCAAATGCTGCAGTGTCTCGATTTAAAGAGAGTATTTTTCTCTGCTATGTAAAGATTGTCAAACTGAATGAATGCTAAAGCTGCTCTGGGTGTTTTTTCTTCTGCTTCTCTCCACATTTGTTAGAATTTTCACAGCAGTGAATGATTTGAATTTCCCTTTCAGTGATGCAAAGGCTTCCCAGCTGCATGATCGACATGTTTAATGCATTAACGAATGTTACAATAGAGGGTTTATTTTTCATTAAATATCAGTGATTTCTTCTGGTCAAATAAATGAATAGCTTTCATTCTGAAGGTTTTCCAGATGTGAAGCGTTATTTGTGTTTCTACTGCTTCTGAAAAAACTGTTGGTTTTTGGCAATAAGTTAATGTAGCTACTGCAACCCCAGTTCATCGCCTAACAACCCAAGCAGAGCTCCAGCACGTTTGGTCAGCAGGTCTTACTGCTGTATGCACTGTACAATGGCTGCTGGAAAAGACACGTGTTTTGTTGACTTACCACTTTTGTTTGTTAATTGCGGATCAGTTGGCAGCCATTTTGTGAGTGTAAATGTTCTGTTCGAGGAAGCACAATAGATCATCTTTAAGACTTTGATTTTCTGGCATAGACTCAGATTTTAACAAAGTTCACAGCTTACGATTGGATCTTTAGATAATCTAGTCCAAAAACTTGTTATCCTGTTTCATCCATTCAAAAAACAGTTCGGGATCCTTTCCCTGTTGGAAAACTGGTTGGGATGTTTGGGATCATTAACTCAGAGTCACATGTTGAACTGGCCCTTTAGTGGAACCCAATGGGAGGCCAATGGGCCCAGTTGGGTCAGAGGTTCTGAACCCATTCAACCACCAGTTTACCCATCAGAGCATCAGACCACATCTATGGAAATGAAATTAATACAAGGAGTCGTTTGTCGCCAGGAGACGGCAACCAGAGACGATTTAATGAGAGCACAAAACGACTTCCTGCCAAGTTTTCCAACCATTTGGACTCCAGTCTGCAGGAGAGAAAGAAACTGGGAGCACTGGGGAGAACGGATCAACAAAAAGAGACAATGGAGAGGAAGTTTGGTGACACAATGTTTTCATATGAAATATGAAAGAGACGTTTATTAGCTTAAAATCATTTATTTGGCTCAAATATCAGAGGAGCTTCTCTTGTATTTACAGCTCATGTTTGCATGTGTAACTAGTTACATTTACTCAGTTACTTGAAAAAAATTATTACACTTTTTACTTTTAGTTGAATAATATTTTTATAAAGTGTTATTCACTGTAACATGAGTAAAAGGTCTGAATAATTTCCACACTGAGTGAAAATTCAATGAAAGAAGAAAAACGTAGGAGAAACAAACAACTGGCAAACAATCACCTTGTTCTTTTTTATTTTTTCTACCTCCTTTTTCCATTATTCCTTTTTTTTATTTCTTTTTCTTTCCCTTTTTTTCTTATTCTCCTCCTTTCTTTCTCTTCAGCTTTCTTTTCTTTCTTATTTTATTTGTTTTTCTTATTTCTTTTTTCCTTTCTTCCTTTTTTCTCCTCTCCCTGTTCTAACTTACAGTATTTGAAGACTATAAGCATAATATTTTTTTAAATAATTTGTAAAAGTGCTGAATGATTATGTTACCTGGTAATCATATCATTTATTTGTATTAATTTGTTTAAAAATCATTTTAGTCCATAAAATACCAAAATTTGGACATAACTTTAGATTTTTGTCGGTTTGATGACATCATTTTTAAATATTATACCAGACAGTTCTGAACTGATTTATTGTAACTTATAAATCAAAGTTTCCTGGTGGAGGATCAGTGATTAAATTAGAAAGAATCCATTTTGTATCCTTCAGATTATTTCTCCTCTTTTAGCTGCAGGGTCGTTTTCACTGTGAGAGGAAAATGTTTGTCTGCAGCAGCAGCTGGAGAACAACAGTCGCGTCTCTGTGAGCTGCAGCTGACGGTCCGGTCAGTCACCAGAATGAAGCAGTGGTGTTCAAACTGCAGCGCACGGGCCACTTTCAGCCCTTTGGATTATTTTCTGGGGCCCTCAGTCACAGTCCAACAAGTCAGATGTTTTCTTAAACCTCAATTTTCAGTTCAGCTGAGAGGAATCAGATATTTACTTTCCGACTGATGACCGCTCTTTTTAAAATCTCAATGTTAACAATATATTTTAGTTGGAAATTTCAAATAAAACACAGATGAAGAGATGAAATATATTAGGTGATTTCCTGAGGAATTTTGAACTATAAACCCAAAGTGAAACAAATCAGTTCCATGTTTCTGGATGTCTGCAGAAACACAAAGCCTTCATACGAGAGCAGAGCCAGTTTCTCCCACTCACAGACTGACAGTCCGGCCTCTCCCTAAACAAACCCACTCAGATCTGACGACATCAAAACCCTGAACTTCTCCTGCCAAATTCAGGCCTATTCGACCACCAGCAGCGCAGTCGCAACGTTTTACCACATGGGCCGAAATCACGGAGTGAAAAATACAAGAAAAAAGTAAAGCAAAAAAAAAAAATAAGCTCAACAGAAAGTCAGACAGTGATTAAATTACTTTGGGCTTGATAGAAAAAAAATATTCTCAGTTATAAAAACAGGATTTGGGTCACTTTGTTTCAAATGTTTGCTATTTTAAGGCAAGTTTATTAAGCAAAATTCAGATGCTGCAGGTTTTTGTTTCTTCCATTTTGATCTCAGCTGCCTCTAAAAACAACATTAAAACATATATATAAAAAAAACATTAAAAAAGAAAAACACAAGTTTGGAGAATATATTCATGTTTTTAGGTGTCTGGAAATCGAGTCACAACATTGCTGTTACCTTGCAAACGCAGCTAAACTCTGCCCTGCTACCTAGCAACCAAGCCAGAGCTCCAGAACATTTGGTCAGCTGGCATTACCATTCTATTGGCTGTACAATGGCTGGTGGAAAAGACAAGTGTTTTGACTTACGATCAAGAAATTACCCACTGTGTTCTTGTTGGTTGTGCAGGAGGCTCCACTTCGGCTTTTCAGAGACGTAGCTATAAAATTTGGCATCTGTTTGCAGCCATTTTCAAGTGTGAGTGCAAACGCAGAGTTAGGGGGACGTGGCCTGCAGCAGCTTGACTTTATTATTCGAAAACCTTCTTCCTAAAAACATAAATACTTTATGTCGTATTAAAAACTGAGGTCTCAGTTCGAGTGCAGTGAAATCTGACTGGAGACTACTCAAAAAGCAGGAAGTGAACTACAGTGCAGGGCATTCTGGGTAAACACAACCAAAACAAACAGTGGGAGAAATGACTTGTGGTCTTTTACCGTAGACTTTGAAGAAATCTTACAACCGCTTCTTTTTTTTGTTTCCATTTTGTGAAGGAAGTTGTGCTCAATGTCTAGAGACAGGTTTTCCTGTCGTTTCCTCCAGTTGCTCTCGGTGCAGCGCCCCCACAGGCGAGGAGGTGAACAGGTTTTTCCAATTAGTTTGCTTAATTTGACACAGTGCAGTGAGAACAAATGAACCGTACCAGCTGAAAATGTAACAAAAACCACAGTTTTGGAGCAAAGTCCACTGGACTATCAGGTGTAAAAATAAAAACCCAGTTGGAGCAGAACTTGGATCAGGAATTAGTGCAGATAAAGGCAGGCAGCAGCAGAGTGGTTGTTTCAGAGGAGGAGGGTTCTGAACACTGCGGGTCTTTGTGGTCCGGTGGACAAAGAGCTGCTGAGACCTCTGCGGGTCACAGCCAAACAGACCGACACCGAGCCGGACTCTCCACAACAACTGCTTCACTTCAGCTGCGACATGAAGCGCTGCCTCGGGCTGGTTCTGCTGCTCTGGTCCGGGATGCTGCATGAGGGTGAGTGGACCTGGACCCGGCAGAACTTGAGCTTTAGAGAGAGAGAGAAACAAACTGCAGAGAAGGAAAGAAAAATATTCATATTAGTTAAACATTCCTGCTTTTAGTTCTGGATCAACTAACTTTATGTGATTTTGTCTCTAAGCCATGAAGATTCACACATTTCTGATTTGGAAGTTGAGAAAAACACAAAATCTTATCAAGTATTTTATCTCGTTGTTCCTGGAGGCATCTTTAAGGGATCTTTACACACTTGAATTGAGACAAAACTAACAAAATTAACTTTTCAGCAAGATACAGGAACTTGTTTTAAGTCATCAATTCATTAATACTGATTTTAAAAAGTCAATATTTTGACTGTTTTCACTCCTAAAGAAAGTTTTAGTTAAAGGGAAAAGGTGTGTGAGCGAAGCGGCTTCACACCTGGCTCAGGTAAACCAGTTCTGTCTGGAGGAATGAGATGAAATCCCAGCAAAACCAAAAGAGTTAGCAGCAGCGATCTTCCTCCTGACTCTCTGCGCCTCTTCTTCAGGTTCTGGGCTTCGCTGCTACAGGTGTGCCGATTACACGGGCCGCTGCGAGAACGTGCAGGAGTGCACATTCGAAGACTCGTGCATCTCTCTGAACGATCAAGGTCGGTTTAACTGGACTTACACAAACATTCATACCAAAGAGCCTGAGATGTGGGACCTGAGATTTCAGGGTTTTGGAGACTTCTCTCAGCATTTTGCAGTCTGCTTTAAAGGTGAACTTGTTTAAATAACCAGACCTGGGCTCTTCTGCAATGTTTTACCCTCTTAAAATCCTTTATCAGACAGATAAGCTTCTTCAATTCATTTTCTTCAAATAGCTTTTTAGATCATACTTCTTCACTCTCACTTCGCAAATATTTGAAATTTAGCCCTTCAACATCATATTAAGGCCATTGTAAATAGAATATAAAGTGTAAATTTCAGCCAACAACTCAGAAATTTTGAGATATTAAAAATTTTCTAGAAATAAATTGGAAATTTCTGAGTTTGAAAAGCTGCCAGATTTGACTTTTGAGACTCAGAAAATTTGCAAAAGTAAAACATTTGTGACTTTCAAAACTCAAATGTTTCCAAGTTTCTCCTACAAAATTTCTGGAATTGATATTAAAACTTCTGATTATTTTCTGGCAAATTTTAAAGATACGCCGTCAGACAAACCTCCACCACAATGTTCCCATCAGGATTTTATGACTTTTATTTCCTTTTTTGTCTTGTTATGTTGAAGTTTGATATTCGGACTCTGCCCAGGTTCTCAGGTTCTCAGGTGTTGTGTGTTGCAGGTGGGAAGACGATCCGGCAGTGTATCCGGTACACAGAGTGCGACGTGTCCCGCCTCTCCCAGATGTTCCCGTCCATCTCCAGATTCACGTACAGATGCTGCAACAGTAACCTGTGTAACTCGGGCTCCACGGCCCCCGCAGCCGGCCCGGTCCTGGTTCTGCTCTGGTCCCTAGTGAGCCTTTGGTGGTTCTGGTTCTGAATCGCTGCAGCTGTTCTGGATATAAATGTTAGCTTGAACTAATCTGTGGCTCGCTGGTTGTTTTCAGGCTCCTGCGGCTCCTCAGGTCTCTTCTGTAAATCTGATTTTACTCATTTAAAATGTGATTTTCTGTTGGTTTAGCAGGAAATAAAATGTTCTGGCTTTTGAATTCTTTTTTTTGTCTGGATCTTGGGAACATGATGATGTTGCAAGTCAAATTAGGTCAATCAGGGATTTTTCTAAGGTGCTGAATTGAGGCCATAAAGTTTTTTTCCCAAAAATGTTTAAGCTGAAAAAAGATTGAAATGTAAAATAAAATTGCATCTGAAAATAAAGAGATCTGAAGCAGAGAAAAAAATAAATATGAAAAGTAGCTTGGAACTTTTTTTTACTAAAAAAATTTTGATGTGAAAAATAAATTGAAAATAAAAATATCTGAAACTTCAGGAAAACATATTTAAAATAGCTTTGAAATTCTTTTAATTTCAATTTTTTCATCATTAAAATAGTTTTCAAGTTTAAAATTTTTTTTTTCACTCAAAAAAACAAAAATTTGAGCAATTTTTTTGTCCCCAATTTAGCTCCAAACCAGGCTCCTGAATTACATTTAAAGGACTTTATCCACAATTCTATTAATTCTGGTGGTAAAAAACATTTCAATACCAACAAATGTTTTTTTAAACTTCCATGATATTTTAGTGATTAAGGTTCTTCCATATGTCTGCGTTGACCTTTGCTCCACTCTGACCAGTCATTACTTCACCCACTAAGGCCTGGACTTAGTAGGTGACCTTTCAACAGAACTTTCGTTCAAAAATCCTGAACTACAAGAAGAGGCAGCTGCGCCCCCTGCTGGACAAACATCTGATCTTTGGATCGAGTTTGCATTTGGGCCTTTGTTTCATTATTTTCACCATCAAGATGTTGCATTGCTCTCTCTAAAAAAAACAAAAACAAAAAAACTGCTCGATTACAACTGTCCTCTAATCTCCCTTAAAACTTTATTTCTGTATGGAAGTCCATTCCTGCCAGGGAAAAACGACAACAACAATAGGAAGTCAGAATTTCAACTTTCAAATATATAAGTTTGAGATATAAAGCTATAATTTCAAATGGATTGATCTCAAGACGACTTACTTTAAAGTGGATAAATGACACAAATAAGGTGAAGAAAAAAAATACAAAACTGATTTATTTCAACATTATAAATAACAAGAAGAGTGAAGATTATTTTTAATCTACTGAGAGGTAAAATATCCAGAGCTGTTCTCTGAATGTCCTTTATGTATTCAGTAAATAATCTGGATATGTCAGAGCCATCAATAATTTACAGAAACAAGAGAAAAGCACCACAAAACACGACAAATCAACAATAAAACGGTTAAAGGTGATCTATTATGCTTCCTTGAACAGGTTAGGATACAAAACATGAACATTTAATTGTTTGAAAAACGGACTGCAGTGCTGCTGGGGTTGCTAGGTAAACCAAGCATGTCTCTTTGGTCCTTGTGGGTCTTAGAGGATGTTTGAACTTTGAACAGCTGGAATGAATCTAAAGTTAAAGACACACATAAGTCTGAACACACTGAATCAGGAATCAGTTCTGTTCGTTCAGTCGCTCACGTCTCCGGGTCCCTCCTCCTCAACCTGCCGTCCAATCACCTCCAGCTGCACTTTCTTCTTCTGCCCCTTCTGCTCCGCGTCTTTCTCCTGCTTCTCTGATTGGGCGTACCACGGCTGGGGGGCGGAGCCGTCGCAGGCGCGCCCTCCTCTGCGGAAACCCCCCCTGCCGGCTCTGACCAGCCCCCAGCCCTGCAGGTGAGTCTCGGACGTCCCCTCCTGGACGCCGCGGGTCTGGTCCAGCTCCTTGGCGCTGAGCGACGACATCCGGACCGGGACCGTGTTTCCGAACTTGGAGTAGTCCACGCAGTAGCGGCCGTCTTCCTCGGTGATGATGGAGACGAAGCGCCGCCCCCACAGGATCTCCTCGGGGGTGTAGGAGGTGCGAGCCTGCATGGTGATGCCCGTCGTCTCCACCACACCTGGAAGAAGGAAAATATCAGAATCGGTTTGTAGAAACAGATATAAACCCCCCAATGCTGCATCAGAACCACGTGGGTCAGGAGTCTGCAACCCTTATGATACAAAGATCCAGTTTGCTCTCAGTGGAGCCACAAATATTACATGCAACAGTAAATCAGGGCCATTGGAGATATAATAAAAAGTAAGGAGTTAATTTCCGTCAAAAAAACTCAGAAATGTTCAAGAAAAAGAACTTTGTGATTTCTGAATTTGAAAAGTTGACATTTTGAGATTGATCTCAAAAATATTCTAGAAAAAACATGGGAATTTCTGAGTTAGAAATTTTCATCAATTTCCAAACGTCAACATTTTTCTACTTTTCAAACTCAGAAACCTCCATGATTTTTCTAGAAACTTTCTGAGATCTGAAGATTTCAGAATTTTTTTCTCCAAATGTTTCAACTTTTCAAACTTAAAGTCAAAAATTAGCTAAAAAAGCTGAGTTTGAAAACTCAAATGTCTTTGACTTTTAGAAAAAGCTACATTTTTTAGAAAATTATCTAGAAAAAAACATTGAAATTTTAGTTTGAAAAGTGGAAAATGGAAAACTTTTCAAACTGAGAAATTTGCTGAAAGTCAAGTTATTTTTATAAAATTTTTTTAGCTCAATCTAAAAATGTCAGATTTTTTCTTTTTCAGAAATTTTACTGCCTCTTTAAGAGCCATTGTGAAAGGTCCAAAGAGCCACTTGTGGCTTGGGAGCCTCGGGTTGTAGACCCTGGATGGACTGTGTCAGGTGGAACCGGGTCAGGGCGGGGCCTGACCTTCCAGGATGACGATGACCTCCAGGTCTACTGTGGCCAGGGACTGGGCGGACAGGTCGTACAGCGGACTCCCTCTCTCGATGGTGTGGCTGATGATCAGAGGAGAAACCAGGAAGATGCCGTTGCTCCTCAGAGGATTCTCCACCTGGATGTCCAGCTGGCACACCGGGATCACCTCCCCTTCAGTCGTCACGGTGCGCCGGATCACCTGCGGGGAAACAGCGGCGCGCCGATTAGCATCAGATCCCGTGTTGGTGATTCCGGAGGAGCTGACGTCTCACCTGCAGCTGCACGGTGGCGGAGATGATCATACTCTTCCTCAGGTCTCCGACTCGGAACATGAAGGTGGGTCGGCCGTTTCGAGTGGCGATGACGGCGTTCCTGGAGAAGATGAGCGTCTCCGCCCTCCGGTTGGCCTGCGCCGTCTTCATGAAGACGCAGCCGAGCATCACGGCGTTGATGATCAGGCCCAGGATGTTCTGGATGATCAGCGTGATGATGGCGACGGGACACTCCTCTGTCACCATCCTGCCGCCGAATCCGATGGTCACCTGGAGAGCGTTACCAAATAAGGATTAGATCAGAGGCGAATTAGATTAAAATTAGTTTAATTTGAATTATTAACGTCTGCTCCACTATATTTTAGTGTTGTAGTTTGACCACCATCCAGCAGAGGGCGCTGCTAGTCATTGTCACAACATCTTTCATTTACTCATGTGCTGTGAAAGTGGGAATGTGAATAAGTTAAACTTTATGGAATAAAATTTTAACATTCTTTCAAGAGCAAACAGGCGATACTTCTACATTTCATCAATGAATTGTAGTCGATCATTAAGATCAATCAGCTTTAGATGACCTCATTAGTCGATATCTTGCAGCAGCAGAGGTGCTCACCTGGACTTCGATGGAGAAGAGGAAGGCTGAAGTGAAGGAGTGGATGGCGGTGACGCAGGGCACCCGACCCGGGTCGTTGTCTGGGTCACGGGGCTCCAGGTCTCCGTGAGCGAAGGCCAGGAGCCACCAGACCATCGCGAAGAGCATCCAGGAGCAGAGGAAGGCCGAGGTGAAGATGAGGAGGGAGTGCTGCCACTTCAGGTCCACCATGGTGGTGAAGACGTCCTGCAGGAAGCGACCCTGTGAGAGGAAACAACGAGAGAACATCAAAACATGGCTGACCTCTGACCCAGCTTCTTTGTCATCATGTGCTGTTGGAGGAGGGTGGAGAGTCATCATTTAGCAGAAACACAATGAAACGGAGGAAAATCAGGGCAAAAATGTGCAGAGGAATGAGGTTCTGGTTAACATCAGTCCTGTTGATGGACTGAAGCTCAAACCTCCATTACTAAAGTTACAGTCAAAAATTACTGGCAGCAATTTCACTTATGTAGCCTGTAAAGAGAGAAAAATGGGGATTCGTTTTTTAAAGTCGTATTTTCACCATGTATTTATAAATGTTAGTTTCAAACAAAATATTTAGTTAGAAACTATATTTTAGTTAAAATAAAATAGTTATTTTGCAAACTACATATATAGATCCAAACTAAATCTTTAGATTGAAACAAAATTTTAAGTTAGCAGCTTCAAGCTAGATGTAGAGTGAAGCTAAATGTTTAGCTTGAGCAAAATTTTTAGCTTTCAGCTAAATGTTTGGCTTGAGATAAATTTTCCATTTGCAACCCAAAGATTTAGTTTACAAAGCTACTAAATATCCACTTAGTAAGCTCAATATCTAGTTTGCAAATTAAATATTTAGGTTCAAACTAAATCATTAGCTTGAAATTAAATTTTAAGTTAGTCTCTTCAGTCTAGACATGTAGAGACTGGAACTAAATGTTTAGCTTTCTAATGAAGTAGTTAGTTTAGAGCTAAATATTTAGCTTGCGCTAAGCTTTCAGTTTGCAAGTTAAATATTTTGTTTGTAAAGCTACTATGTGGGCGACGTGGGCAACCATCCAGGGTGGCATCATGTGGTGGGGCGCCATAAGGGCAGTTCACTCAGAACACCAAACGGACCAGGACCGCTTCTGCATTGAGTCCAATTTAGTTGCATCTTTATAACAAACTATTATTATCATGATTTTAGAAATACGTGAACCATTTTCACCAGAACCGACTCGCATCCTGGGTCCACATCTAAACACGGAAACGGACTCGGCCCGTCTACCTGCTCCCTGATGTTCTTGTGAGCCACGTTGCAGGATCCAGTTTTGGTGATGAAGCGAGCGCGCAGGGACCTGGTCCGGGTGCGGTTCAGCTGGTTCTGGTCCTCGGCCAGCCGGGTCAGCAGGAACCCGTCCGGCAGGAGGCCCTTCCGGGCCAACATGGTGCTACAGCAACAGAACAACATGCAATGTTTCCTTCGTCTGATTGGACAAAAGATCTTCAAAAGCAAGTTTTTAAAACAGTTTTCTGGCACAAAAACATTTTTTCTTTTTTATTAAATGTTCAGGTTTGGTTTAATAAGCCGTGTTACTAAAATGAAACAGTTGAATTAAAGCAGAAATAACTCATGAGCTGCTCGGTTCTGGATCTCTTTTCCTTTATGACATTAATCAATGTGAACCCAACCTGCAGCGTGTCACTTCCTGAAACATCCAGAACCGAACCCTCTGACCTCATTAATCACAGAAAGGTTACAGTAATGATTATTCTATTGATTAATCAGTTTTAAAAAATTGGCACCTTCTGCAGGTGTGTCAACCACTTCAGCCTCTTTTTACACAATATTAGAAATAAAAGATGCAAATAAGCAAATAATTCAATTACTTTTTAAATAAGAAAATAATTTAAACAGCGTTTATTTAGCTTCAGATGTGTTTAGGATCTACTGGTCCTAAATGCATCTATTGGTCTATTCATTTGTTGATTTATTTTTTATTAATTATTGGATATCAAAAGTTGCATAATATATTTTTTTGTTTTTTAGCAGAACTTGGACCAGGTGAAACTAAAACTGACACTTGAGTTCTGGGTAGAACAGATTTAGAGGTAAAGAAAGTTTTTAAATTGAAAAGCAAAATGTAAATATTTTGTGTGCAGTTTTGACTTAATTTACTGCTCTGAGGGTTTTTTTGTTTAATCCAAGAGACACTTTTATTTCAATATCTATTATTTTAATATCTGAAGGAGCAATTGGCTCTCCCTGGCCTGATGCAGGAAGAGTAAATAAGGTCACAGGGATCCGCTTTCTGCTGCCGCTTCAGAATATTTCTGTTTTGTTGTGTTTCTGTTTTTAGGATCTGATCTGTTTTTAGGTTTTCCCATATTTACCTGGTGGATCCTGGAAAATCCTGGAAAAATCGGCGACAAGGAGGAAACGACGATCAGGTTAACGCGACTCCTTCACCGGGACACGTCGTTTCACCTTCATCCCCATCCTCATCATCATTGGGTAGATAAACATCCGCACCTGCAGACGCGCGCACTGGACTCCGAGCGCGCGCGCACACAGAGAGCTGCGACGTCACGTGGTTTCACCTGTTGAGGTGGGAAACGGATCAAAGGTTTTCAGGACGTGATCCGCGACACGGACTCCATCATTCCCATCAGGATGTTCTGGGACAGGGAGAACCGAGTCAGGGTGGAACAGGTGGGAGCACAGCTTCCGGTTCCACCCTTCAAAATAAGACAACACGCAGTTTTTTTCCTAAGGTCACAGAAGGATATATTCTATTTTTATTCGTAAATGTAAAAATATCAGTTGTTTTACCAACATGATAATAATAATAGTGATTTTAATGATTAATTTATTTATAATATATATAATATACCTGTTATTACAGGTCACGTTATTTTCTACTTTGTCTTTCACATTCTGACTTTTAAAAAACTATTTTCAATCTTTTATAGGTTCAGTTCTTCAAGACAAGAAAGAAATATATTTTTATGATTTTTCTTCTCACATCACTCACAAAACATCATCAAAAGCTTCTTTTAAACAATTTGTATTTTATTCATCATCCATCCACTTAAATGTTTATACTGCTTTTAAAACTCACAGTCTGAATTAAACGGTAAAATTTGATTTTTACCGTTTTTAATTGTGTGAATATTTTAAACTTGTGTGAAGAAGTTTCACACAAGTGAAATTTATTGTGTGAATATTATAATTGTGTGAATATTTTAAACTTGATTTTATTCTGCAGGATCCTAACAGGTTCACTGTGCAGAGACTTCCTGCAGCCTGCAGGGGGCAGCAGAGCACAGTTTAGAGGCCACAGAAAAATTTAAAGTCGTAATTTATCAGTTTTACCACCGAAGTTTGGACAAATTAACAACTTGATTGGTACGTTTGCATACAAGCTCCAGATCAGCCATCATATTATGATCATAAATTTTTAGCAGATTTATTCTGCTAAACAAGATATCCGTTCCCACTGAACTAATATCATTATGGACCACAAAGTCAAAAGGTATGCGTGACTAAGGTGGTCTTCACTTGTTTTGTCTACCAAAATTCAATAAACAAAAAGATAAATAAAAATCTATAAAATATTCAGTGTCTGATTATTGTGGTATTGACCAAAGAGATTTAACTTTAGCAATGCTTACTGACCTAAAAAAAAAAAAAGAAATGTGTAGTTGGATTTTATATCAGAAAATATTAGATACTATACATATATAAATAATTGTAATTAATATTTCTTTTTAAGTTTCTGTTCAAGTTTCTTCTGGACAAAATTACAGCCAATTGTGTCCATCTGCAAACAGACACAAATATAAACACATCCGAGTTCACAATAAATTAAGACACCTTCAAGACTTCCCTTCCTATATACACATTTACTGACTGAGAAGAAAAGAAACTTATTTATTAAAGTTAGAACCCTGATCTCAGTTTTTACTGTCATAATTTGTTTTTATTTACAGTAAAAGGGATCTTTAGAGTACATATAATATAATATAATATAATATAATATAATATAATATAATATGTGTCTGTAACTCCGCCCTCTCCAGATTTCAGTCACATGACTTCAGGGAGGTTTGGGCGGAGATATCGAGCGCTCCTGTCCTCAGCACCAGGAGCAGCAGCAGCTAGCCCTGGTACCTCCATCGGGTTTATTTACGGTTCTGCCCGACGATTCTGCGGTGGTGTCATAAAGTTCTGACTCATGCCAGACATCGGAACCAGTCCCAGCTGTCTGTAACCGGACTCCCAGCTCGGCAGGAAGCTCGGATCTGTTTGGTTTGTTGTGTTGTGTTAACCGGAAAAAAAAAAAAAGCTAACGGACCGTTTAACCGTTCGGAGCTCTGCCGAACCGAACTGAACCCAACTTGCTGAATGGACCGAAGCTGGAGGAAGCTGGAGAAACCGAACTACGCGATGAGCTAACTTGTAGGAAGCGGGCCCGAACACCAGAACCAGTCCCCGCTCTCCCATGATCACCATGGAGCCGAGCCTCCAACCGAGCCTGCAGCCGAACCTCCTGGAGAACTCCTACAAGAGTGAGTATTTGCAGCCCCTGTAGGTCCTGCCCTGCTGATGCACCCGTGAACTTTGACCTTTGACCTGCAGTGACGGAGGAGGACGTGAAGAGGCTGATCCAGTTCCGGGCCTCCAACGAGGTTCTGTTCACTGGGAAGAGGAATTCGGCCAAGATCGCCTGGAGGTGAGGAGGTGTGAGCATGGTCTGGGCCGGGTCGGTTGGTTCTGTGGTCCAGGTTCAGGTCAGAATGGAGGGACACACCTGCAGTGTTTGTTAAAGTTTTTTTATTGAGAAAATTTGATTTGGAAAAATTTTCTTTTGCCTGACTTTGTTATTTCTTGTTACTAAAATTAATTGTCGTCATTTTTCTCCTTAAAATACCAAAATTTCCACTTAACTTTATACTTTGGTTCAAGTGATGATGTCATTTTTGTTTTGAGAAGACTTTTTACCAAATGCTTTTTTACTTTTACTTCAGTAAAAACAAGTTAACGCCGTGATGTTTTTACTGGAGTCTAATTTTGGAAACTCTGCCCACATCTAGAAAAACGCATCAGATTAAAACCAGAGACTAAAACCTGAGACTTCCGCTGTAGAACAAATGAATCCAGAGTTTTGTCCTCGTTTCGACGTCTGCTGCCCTTTTCGTCGCTCCCCACACATGGAGTCTTTAAACTCCAGTATCTCAGGCTCAGGTGTTTTCCTCTGTCTCCCCTCAGCACCATCCTGAAGGGTTTGGGTCTGGAGGGGAAGCTGACGGCCGACCAGATCGCCAAGAAATGGGACAACCTGCGGACCAAATATAAGGTGAGTTCAGGTGACAGAGGGATGATCGGCTATTTATAAACTGTTTTTCACATCAGCAGCTACTGCTCTTCAAGATTAAACATCAAATAATTAAAGAGATTGTGAGAGTTAAGCAATTTAAAGAAAAATGCATGAGAAAAATAATTGGGTCTGTAACAATCAATCAGATTAATCTTGATAAATCGGTTATTCAATTTATTAATCTAGATATAACTAGAGTATAAAAGGACATTCGCTGAAAGAACAGCATATTCCGAGTTGTAATTTAACCAAAACTGTGCAAAAGGTGTACGGTTTGCATTTAAGATAAAAAAAAACTTTTGTGTGTAAAAATGTTCTACTCAGAACTCCTAAAGTGGTGTAGTTAAAGTTCAATTTCTGTAAAAACAAAACAAATTTCATGCTAATGCTATAGGACTGAATGACTAAAAGTCGTTAACTGAAACGAATCCTTTTTTGTTGTTGTTGCATTTAGGCAATGAAATGTTTATTTTCCGATTTCAAAATTTTTTAAAATATTTTTAATTTTTAATATATTTCTAATATTGTATAAAATAAGCTTAAGTGATTAAAAGGGTCGAACTTGAACATTACGGTTTGATTTCTTCGGCTATAACTCACCATACCAGAAGATTTTAGTTAGAAAAAAAGCAGTTTTTTTCTCAACATTTTGTAATTTTTGTGTCACATGTTGAACTCAACATGTTTAATGTTCAGGGTTCGTACTCGGTCAGGATAAGTGTAGGAAAAGACACTCAGTACCACACGGCCATTGTCTAAAGGGGGCAGGGAATGCTGTGTCACTGCTTCCTTCCTTCCTGTCTCGTATTCTGTGACCTTCTTTCCTTTCTTTCTTCCTTCCTCTCTCATGTTCTTTTGTCCCTCATCTTACATTCTTGTTGCCTTTTTCCATCCATGTGACCTTCCTTTCTTCCGTTCTTCCCTCTTCCCTGATTTTCTTCTTTCTTTTCCTGTGGCCTTTCCATGTCTGTTCTTTCCCTGTCATCTCTTCCATCTATGAAGATCTGACTGAATCAGAAAGGGAACCACATTTCTACACCTACAGTGTGTTAAAAAACAGATTTACTTTAACTTGTTGTTGGATTATAAATATAAATCATAGTTTCATCCCAAAAAATGTTACGTATTTGAAACATAATATGAAACCGCTATAGGCCAGTGTTGGTTTTATCTACAGGAATATTTTGTTTACATGTTGTCTCATCTTTAAAATATGTGGTTATAAAAATTAATTTCTTTGAAACCATTGGTTGTTTGTCCGGTAAACTCTGTCTCTTATTGGCTGATCCTCTTTAGTGACGACTCCTTCCCTGGAAGGCTCAGGCCTACGGAAAGCTATTAGTATAAAAAATATTACAAATAGTAACTCACTTATTGTTCTAATCCTTGAATTTTTTTGAGACACACTTTAAGAAGAGACACAATCACAAGAGCCCTAAAACATAAGTTAAGGGATAGTACATGTTAAAAAAATACAGTATTGTGTGGAGAATTTACAGAGTAATTACTCAGAGCAGCTGCTACATTAATAAGGATTTTGATGGGTTGTTTTATCTTTTTGGTCTTTTTAATCAACTCCTCTAAATATTCCTGCATTAAAGCCTCTGCTGTAACAGCTGGATCTCTCACAGAACCAGCCCTGCTGTGAGGAGGCAGTGAGACTATGAACCGGCTTTAGCTCATCATTTATTTATCCCTCCTTCAGATGTTTGAGTTCTGTTCGTGTAGCTCAGCGGGACGGGATGTGATCAGGGAATCTGGACCACCCAACACCGAGCTGCAAGGGTTTTTAATAACGCAGCAGTGGACTGGTTCTGGGTTTGCTTCATCTGCTGCTGCAGCCTTTTTAAAGCTCTGACGTTAGGATTCAGCTAAACGTCTGCAGGAGTTCATAAAGAAAAATAGAAATTTACAGGAATTTCAATAAAAAATTAGACAGCGCTATTTTTTTACCAATTCAAAACTCTGGTAAAAATATTCATACCAGTCATGTTTAGTCTGCTTTAAACCAACTTTCATTCATTTGTCTAGAAAGTCAGGTTTGTTTGGGGATGCAGCTGAATCAAAAAAGAAATTTAAATCAAAAAACTAATCAATAATTATCGGTATCGACTGACACGAAACGCTTACGTCATGATGCGTATTTCAGCCGTTTCATCCAAACCTGCTCTACTCTGTCTTCTTCAGATGGTTTTGTGTTGTTTCCTTCTTTTTGCAGCGCCCCCACAGGCGAGGAGGGGAACATGTTTTTCAATTAGTTTGGATTGTTTGACCCAGTGTAATGTGAAAGAGAATTATAGCAGCTGAAAATGTAGAAATTATTGCATTTTTGGTTCCCAATCAGCTGTGAAAATCCCCTTACCGCTTCTGCCAGTTACTGCAGTTTCTCTTCTGAGCCTGTAGGGGTCACTGTGTTCCTCTTTCAGGACTTGAAACAGCCTTACCAGGGCCAGGAGCACCTGGGGGTCGTGGTGGAGTCTTGGCCCTGGTTCCACATCATGGACGAAGCGATGCAGGGCCGCCTGTTTAACAGCAGCCTGGTTCTGAGTCCGGACAGTCCCGGCAACGCAGCCAAGCCCCCCGACTGCCAGCCCTGCCAGAACCAGGAGAACACGGACATCCTGGAGTTCCTCATCAAGACGGAGATGGACGAGACGGTGACGGGCGAGCCGGTGGAGGAAGACGAGCCGATCCATGCCGAGGCTCCGCCCATTGGAGGCGTTCCCATGGGATGGCGGAGGATGACAGAGTGCACGTATAAAAGTAAGTGAACCTTCCTGTGATCATTATATTAACATAACAACACAATGATTTGGAAAAAATTGCATTTAGCAGTAACTAGTGTGCTTGTACATATGAAGTACTGCTACTCTCAATTGAGTAAAATTTCTGGATGGATTCTCTACCCACTGTGAGTAACTTCACTGAATGAGAAACGTTTGTTTTAAACCTGCAGTTTTTGTTAAAGTTTTATATTGAAAGAAAGTGATTTGGAAAAATATTTATTTTGCTTGATTTTGTTACAAACATCTAATAGTAACACAGAAATGAACTCAACTCTTCAGCTTCCATTCACCATAAAATGGTGAAAATTGGAATCACAAAAATTAAATTACTTAATAGAAACACGGCAGTTTTGACAAAAAGTTTTTGCACCAGGATGAGGTGAGGGTTTTTTGGCTGTATCAAAATTTTGTGAATTTAACAAAATTGCAATGGAAACACTTTGTAACAGTCATGTGATGAACAACCGGATGTAACTAAAAACGACAGGAACTGGTTGGAGGATAATAGTGATTTTATTTGCGTTTCTTACTAACTGAAAGTAGAAATGTGTTTTGTAGACTTTATCAAATTGTCATAGTTTTGTGCACATTTGTAATGGAAACACAGCTAAGGATGTTTTTTTTCACCTTGTGCTTCTGTTTCTAACCCGATTTTTCTGCCCAACAGTGACCGAGGCAGAAACCGAGAGGATGATCAAACTTCGAGCTGCAAACGAAGCGCTGTTCACGGGTAGAAAACACTCGGCCAAGCCAGCCTGGAGGTGAGATTCCTTCACTTTAAATTAGACCTTGGCAGCCTACGTTAGAAATGAAAACGTTGTCTTTGTTTTCCTCAGAGCCATCCTGTTCGAGCTTGGCCTGCAGGGCCGGCTGACCACAGAGCAGTTGGCCAAGAAGTGGGACAACCTGAAGAGGAGGTATAAGGTACATAAAGCGCCTGAACCCCCACAGCGCCCTGCAGCGATGCTGAATGGAGAGAAATCTGCTCCAATATTACTGCAAGCAAAGAACATGTTTCAAAAATAAAAACTAGGAATCCACCAATATGGAAATTTGAGCTGAGGATTACTGTTAGAGTCTGTAACAGATATTTAATGTCACTTGACAGTAAATAATTGAATATGTGACAGCCTCCATCACTTCCCCCACAGAAGCAAACAGCAACAAGATGGAATAAATACTGGTTGGTAATCACAGTTTTATTGACCAAACGGACACAAACTGTAACTTTACAGTATGTGTGCAATGGTTGACCTACTTATTTGCAGTTTGCTATATTTATATTTTTCTTATCAAATTACTTTTTTTTTTCAGATTTACTTTTTTCAAATAATTTTTTCAGATTTATTTATTTAAATCTGACGCTACTCCATTTTTGTTTACATTTTGCATAGATGGAAATGTCTTCTTTTGAGGTTTTTGTGTCTTTTCCTCCAGTAGATGTTGGTTCAGCGCCCCCTCAGGCGAGAAGAGGAACTGTTTTTTCAAAAGATTTGGTTCATTTGACTCAGTGCAATGTGAGAGTGAACTGCAGCAGCTGAAAATGTAACAAATGTTATAATTTTGGTCCCCAATCTAACTTGTATCAGTCATGTCTGAATCTACCAGACTAGCGAGTGTGAAAACTCCCTATGAGGATCTGTTTGCGTCTCTCCCAGGAGCTGAAATTTCCGTCCCGCGGTGTGGAGGCCAACCCAAGCTCCTGGCCCTGGTTCTACCGGATGAACGACGCCATGGAGGGCCGTCTGGCCAACGCCGCGCCCATCCTCGCTCCCATTGTGGAGGAAGGAGACGAGGAGTACGAGAGTCTCTTGCCAACGCCAAAGAAACGAGCGCGGCGAAGCCGGGGCGGGATGGCCGAGTTCCTGACGGAGTCTGAGATGGATCTGTTGGTCGATAACGAAGAGAAGATCGGATCATCGGCTCTGGGAGATCTGCACCGGATCACAGAGTTCACCTACAAACGTAAGAGACCAGAAACAGGAGGGGATTGTTGTTGGGTTGTACCTCACTGAGATTAATGTGCTGGTGAAACTGGAAATGTCCACAGTAACAGAAGAAGACACGAGGCGACTGATTGAGCTGCGAGCTGCTAATGAGGCTCTGTTCACTGGCAGGAGGAACACGGCGAAACCCGCCTGGAGGTCAGGAATGTCCACACTTACACTGACGTCACTGATGAAGAGCAGTCATCCCATCACTAATATAACAGGATTATTTTATCATGTTGTGTTTAATTGATTTAATTGTGATATTTAGTTGACCATCCTTCCCGTACAGCGAGAATGTGAGAAAAAATGTTACTGCAACTGAAATAAAGAACCATTTTGTCAGTAAATCAATTAAACATAAAATCAATAATCCTATTTTATTATGGTCTCCATCACATTCACAGTTGAAACACCTTTAATATTCATGATTCCAGCTAAGCTTCCTGTTTGAAAAGGTTCTGGTTCTGACTCAGGGGGATTGTGAAGGAGATGGGTCTGACTGGGAGGATAACTCCAGACCAGGTAGCCAAGAAATGGGACAACCTGAAGACTAAATTCAAGGTTTGTCCTAAACTATCGACTGTTTTACCGTGAAAAATGTCTTTTTTTTTCTCAAATTCACAACAAACGTCATAAAGTTAGTTAGTTTATTTATCTGACACAGAAATTAACAATTATTACATGATTAAAAATGTCAAGGAAAAACTGAATAGCACAGATAATTACGGCTGAAATGATTAATTGTGACAAATCGATTATTTAATTATCAATTAATCGTTAACTGAAACATAGAGACTCAAAAAAGTTCATATATTGAAAAATATATATATTTAGAACAGTAATTGGGACAATGGGGAAAATTATTTCTGTCTTTTGTCATTTCTTTTTTAGAAAAGAAAGCGAGAAATAAGTGACGTATTTGAGCTGCAAAAACATAAAATCTTAATTAATTCTTGTCTAATATATAAAACAAATATCTTAGTATACTTGAAATATGACAAAATAACTTACAAGTAACTTTTCAGAAAGATATAGAAACTTGTCTTCAGTAAATAATTCCTAAAAATGGAAAAGTTCTAGTTTCACTGGTAGATTATTTCATTAAAACTAAAAAAATATTTTCCCACGTTATAAGTGACATAGTCTAGTACCTTTTCACCAATATTAAAGAATTGACCCAAATAATCTCTGATATGTTGCTGAGAAGTTACTTGTAAGTTCGTTTTGTCTTATTTCAAATAAAATAAGACATTTATGCGAGAAACAAATATTTTGTGTTTATACAGTGTGTTTCTTATAATTCCTCCCAGATTCTCTGGAAACTGTTGCGAAGGTCATTAAGTTATAAACTATGTACATTTATCAGAATAAATCCGTCTCTTTGGTGCTGCTGGTTCTGAATCTTGTGTCCTGCCTGTGAAGGACCTGAAGTTTCCTCCTCGCGGTATGGAGGCCCAGACCAACCCGGCCTCCTGGCCCTGGTTCCAGCTGATGAGCGACGCCCTGGAGGGCCGGCTGGCCGATAAAGCCCCCAGAGTGACGCCGGTGTGGACCAGCGAGGAGGACGCCGTGTTCGGGTCGTCGCCGACCCCCGACTGCCTGATGGGGGAGCGGAACGGCATGCCGGAGCTGGACGGCATGGCGGGCGGAGACCACGGCGAGGCCGACGCCGCCATCACCTACATCGACGCCAGCGGAGAGGAGTGCGCCACGCCGTCAGAGCTCTCCTACAAAAGTACGTGGAAGTACTTTCCTGGACAAACAAAAAAGTCAACACCAACACAGAGTTCACACTCCATGATTTTCTTCATCTTTGTGTCCTTGCTATTAATCAATAAGCCTGTCATGATAGCACATTTTGTTGGACAATAAACTGTCCCAGAAGTTATTGTGATAAATTTAATAATATTGTAGTTTTTAAGCAATTTTAAAATAATGTAATAATAACACAATAATAATGCAGGAACACATTCTGAGAGATTATTAAACTTTAAATTTTAATGAAGTTTTAACACTGGAACTGTGATATATAATTATCTATTATATATCAAGGAAACAACAAAATAAATAAATTATGAAGTTACTGTAAACAAATTTATCTTTCAAACAAAAGACTTGTTGAGACCAAAATGTCAGATTGAAGACATTTGTCCTACAGTTTTAGAGAGACAGGAGAAATCAATAAATCATGCAAATAGATATTGAGCGTATTTTAATTGGTCATTCTATTGATCGATTATTTTGTATTTACATTGCGCAACTTTGCATAGGTTCTATTAAGGTAACCCAAAGAGCATGTATTTTACAAAAATTTAATAATTTCTGCTAATTTTAAAAATATTCTTTTGTTAAGAATGAAATAATTTTATACATAAATTGCACAGTACCACATTGCATCAACAGATGGTGCAAATGTTTAATTTATTACTATTAATCTGAACTACCAACATATTCTTAGTCAAAATCAACAATTAATATTTAGCTTAAAATCATGTTCATGTTAGAATAGTTTAGCAAGAAGTAAAGATATAATAATTATTTCATATACTGGCCAAGTTCATCTTGTTCCCATTTGTTTTGGGTTTCTTATTCACTCTAAAACTGACTGATCCGATCAGTCTATTTGCAAAACCCCAATGTTTCCTCTACTGTAAGGATGTGGACACAAGTTGCTTATCTGATCTAAACTCATCCTGAATCCGTCTCATGTGTTTGTTCAGGAAGAAGGAAAATATGGCTCGCTGCTTTAGAAATAATATTAATAATATAATAAAATACCACAAACCAGGCTTAACAACGAAATAAATTAATTATGAAGTTGCTGTAAACAAATTTGTCTTTCAAACAAAAGACTTGTTGAGACCAAAACATGAGATTGAAAACATTTGTCCTACATTTTTAGAGGGACTGTAAAACTGTAGGACATCACAAATATTGTGATGTCAATGCACAATATTGTTGATTTCACCAACATTTGGTGCAATAAACAAGATTTAATTTGATTCTGCTCAATGTGAGTGAATGTAAGTACTTCTACACATTTCTGGTCATTTCCATGTGACATGACAGATAAATAAGAGGAATTTAATTAACATAATATTTTTATTTATTTCTTATTACTTACATCTTTCCAGCTGATGTTTTTAAATCAAGATTGCAACCTCAGGGTTAGGGTTAGGGTTAGTTTTAAATAATGTCTTTAAAACTAATCCTATTGATCGATAGGATTAGTAATCGTTTATCATTAAGTTTTATTTAAACAGCTGGGATAAATTGTTGTCACTTCTATGTCCTTTTGAAAACTCCTGGCATAAACTATAAAAAGCTATAATCACAGAGTTTTATTTTGTTCCCGTTACTTTTTATAGTTACAGAGTCTCCGTTCTTTTTAAATTTCTTCACATATGTAAAATATTTTTTTCCATATATATAAGTAAATAATATATAATTGTTCCATATATATAAAACACATTTTTCGAAGTAGCTGCGACTTTTGACCGGAATAATCGATTACAGACGAAGCACAGTTACGCCACGCTTTCTACGTCGACGTGATATTTTTATCTAGACGTAAGTAAGTAAGGAGAGGAGTGCCATCTAGTGGTTGTAAATACAAATTGCAGGCCAAAGTCAACATCCGGGTTAATCGGGACCTTTGGCGACCGAATCAGTGATTCAGAGCGAAAACGAATCGAAACTTACTAGAGTTCAGGGATCTTGCAGATAAACAGCGAGTGATTTTTAGAACCTCTGACTGCAGCGGCTCTGTTCTGTATCTGCTTCCCAGTGAGCGACCAGGACACCAGGAGGATGATCAAACTCCGCGCTTCCAACGAGGTGCTCTTCACCGGGAGGAGGAACGCCGCCAAAGCTGCCTGGAGGTGAGGTGGAGTTGCTTTCTTTTGTAAAAAAAAAAAAAAAAAAAAAGATTTGTGGTCTATTAGATTAAAACTAGTTCCAGTCGGTTAGCTAAAGCCGTCCGCTTAGAACGGCGCCACCCAGCAGAGGGCGCAGTTGGGCACCGTTAATAACCGGAGCTGTTGATGCAAAAACAAAGATGGCGGAGGTTTACAGAATGGGGAAAGAGAAACGATCTAAACAGTTCCGGTTTGGGATGTAAAGTCCACTTTGAGCGATGATAGAACAGCCGTGGGTATAACTCAGAAAATATATATATATAAATATAAAAAAAACATAAGCACAGTTGAATTTGATGGCTGTCTCAGTTGATGTGAAGTTCTGACATTCTCTCAAAGCGGTATTTCTGTATAAGTATCTCTTTTCATGGGTATTTACGTTTTTCAGACGTTAATTTTTTTCTATCTTTTATATTTTTATTCATCACCAAAAAGGTTCCTGTTTATGTTTTTATTTTTAAATATGTCTGTTTAATAATGTGAGAAAACCCCCAGCTGATGTTTTTAAATCAAGATTGCAACCTCAGGGTTAGGGTTAGGGTTAGTTTTAAATAACCCTAACCCTAAAGCTGACACAAAAATGTCTGATTCAGCATATTAAAAAAAATAGACCTTTATATGATGCATAGACAGTTGGCCCTCTTAAAACATGCAAAAACTCAGGCAGGAAAATCAACCAACTTTAGATTAACTCATTAATGGATGACTTGCATCCCTAGTTGGTGATGACGTTATGACCTGCTTCCTCAGAGCCATCTTGAAGGAGCTCAGCCTGCAGGGAAAAGTCTCCACCTACCAGATGGCAAAGAAGTGGGACAATCTGAAGAGGAGGTACAAGGTGAGATATTCCTACCATCTTTTCAATGCTTCCATGATTCCTGCTCCAAGCTCACAGGAAATGGTGAGGCTTAGTCCACATGTAGCCGGATATCTCTGAAAACGAATACATTTTTCTGTATTTTGGCATTAATCCACCAAAAAATACTTTTTTAATCACTGAAAGTTATTTATAGAAATGCCAATTAAAAAAACATCAACATATCAACACACTGGCTTTAACAAGATTCCCAGTCAACATTGTCTTGTGTATTATTATTTGAGGAGTTTTGGTTTGAACATATTTGCAAACTAAAAAGTTAATTTAATCTTAAATGCAAAATGTTTATATTATTTTACATTTACTTATTTAGTGTTTGCTTCAGCAAATGGCCCTTTGTTCTGTACGAGACACAGCTCCTCCTCAGAGCTGCAGTTTACAAACGCCCAAGGTCCTTGCAACTCCCTCACTGAGCTCCTTCAGACTAGCCAGCAGCAATTAGCAAACACCTGATTGAACTGAGCATCTACTGAGCTCATTATAGGAGCTACTTCTCAGTGAAAGGCTGGTAGAAATGTTGTTAAAGGGAGCCATGTTGTGATGACTTCCTGAAGGAGGACTTTCAGATAGAGCAGGAGTTCTTAAACAAACAGAAGCAGAATTTTAAAACGTTAAGATGTGCAGTCCTATCTGCTATAGCGTTTTTATAACAACTGAAGGTTAATTATGCTATAAAATGGGACTGTGTGCCACATAATACTGCCTCTTTAAATTTAACTCTTAATGGTCTTGAACTAAATTTGGTGAAAGCTGCAGAAACTGTGTTCCACCTTCTGTTCAGGACCTGAAGTATCCTCCCGTTGGGATGGAGAGTGCAGCTGACAGCGCCTCCTCCTGGCCGTGGTTTCACCTGATGAACGACGCCATGGAGGGCCGTCTGGCCGGTAGCGCCCCCCTCCTCACGCCTCTAACTCAGGATGACGACCAGCACCCAGACCCCGCCCCCAGACACAGGCTCCGCCTCCCTCCTGCGCAGCAACCATCCTCCTCCACGGACTTCCAGGAGCCGTGCGGCGGGACGCTGGGAGGACTGGAGCGGGAGTGGGAGGCGGTGGAGCGGGAGCGAGCGGCGTTGGAGCGGGAGCGGGAGACGGTGGAACGGGAGCGGGCGGCGGTGCAGGCAGAGCGGCTTTGGTTGGACCGGGAGCGGGCGGCCGTGGAGCAGGACCGCGCCCTGGTGGAGCAGGAGAGGGCGGCGCTGGTCCGGGACAGGGAGGCGCTGAACCAGCGGGCCCTGATGATGAACCCTGTGGGACACCTGAACAGCCTGATGTAGGCGGGACGATGTGGAGACGCAGAGCGTCATCCTGATGTGGATCCAGACTGGTGCTGGGGGGAAAAAGGCTGGTCCTGGCTCAGGTTCAGATCCTGGTTCTGCAGGTCCACCGGGTTTATCAGGGAGTTATTGTCTCCTTCTGACTGCCCATCAACTCTGAGTCAAACTGACGCGAAACTCAAAAATCTTACCAAGTACGTTTAGTCTAGTTTGTAGTGCAAATATCTTCATATGCTTCCAATAAGACAAAGATGACTTTCAGCAAGATATAAGACGGTGATGTCCGAACGTTTTACAAACTGGGCCAGAATCCTAAATATTCAGAAACCATATTGTTCTTCTAACTTTAAATAAAAAATAATGCTGTTATGAAAAAAAATGATGTGCTCAGTACAACCATTAGAACCATTGTAAATAGAAGTTCTAAATTTTCACCAAAAAACTTTTTTAGAAAAAAACAAAACATAAAATTTTTCCGAATTTCAAATTAAGAATTTTGAGTGAGGGGTCCACACAAAATTATTCCAGGACACTCCCTTTAGACATCCCTGATATAGTAGCTTGTTTTAGGTCAGTAATTATTTAATATATATTTTTAAAAAGTTATTGTTCCACTGGCAGATTATTCCTCTTTATAACAAGATTGTTTCTCCATGTTATGCAGGAAAAGGTTCACTTTATCAATATTAAGGAATTATCAACTGAAAAGAAGCTCCTGTAACTCTGAAGTTACTTTGTTTTTGTTTTATTTTAAATCTATTACAGTATTTGCACTAGAAACTAGACAAAAATACTTTAAGATTCTGTATTTTTAGAGTTTTTATGCCTTTTTTTCATTTAAGACAGCTTTCCTCCCGGTAAGAAACTGCGTAATGCGGTGAAACGGCAGCCTCTTTGGGTGAACTCTGGAACTGAATCCTGATCGAGTCACATCTGCAGCGACTGTGAGTCCATCACTGGTTAAAAGAAATAACTTTGTTTTATTTTTATAATCTCCGACGTTCTGCTCTGTAATTTATGACCCAAGTTGAAGAAGAAGAAGAAGAGAGATGCATCAGTTTCTGTCCTGAAGTGCTTTCACAGAAGCAGCGCCCCCTGCTGCTAAAACCAAGATTTTAAAAAACGTGTTGAATGTTTTATAATATGTTGTAAAAACTGCCTTTTAATTTTCTGTCCTGACACTTGTTTTCTGTCCATGTGTCAAGTTTCTGTGGAGGATTAAAACTCTTGAGTCTATCGATTTGATAATATGATCAAATCTTTAATCACTTTCTCTTATTTTATTTCTTATGAATTTGATCAGGTTACTGAGTAAAATTGAGCAGAATTTTACATTTAAACAATGCAATAAGCCTTCTAACTATCTAATTTAACTATCTAATGTAGTTTGTGCCAAGTCAAGAATTTTGTGTTCGTCGGGCCCCAAACTGTAGCCCGGGGCCCCACATCCTTCTAAATCTGGCCCTGCACACTTGAGTAGGGCTGAAACAAATGGTAGTGATGAATCAATTATTGAGATAATCATCAATTAATTTAGTAATTGATTAATTGTGGAGTATAAAGACTAAAGGCCAATTGGTGAAAAAAACCTAGTAAGAGCAGTAAATAAGCCAAAATTATATAAAATACATACATTTTTAAAAATGGATAAAACAGCAAGATTTCATTCTAAAATCTTTTAGGATCTCAAAAATAGATGAGAGCAAAAATTCTGTAATAAATTCTGTAAAGTTCTTTAAGAAAGTAAAATATTTCAAAAAATTCACAAAAATATCTTGATTAGTTTATAATACCATTTATAAACTAATAAACTGCATTTATTAGTATATAAATAAATTTTGTACACAAAGTAATCTAAATAAAAATAATTATTTATGGGATATCAAAGTAGGGAAAAGATTAGTTTTAACATTCCTATAGTGAAAGTCAGTGTGAAAGTTCATCAATCACCAGCTGAGTACCAGAAAACACTGATTTCAATCAGAGCATTAAATATTCACAAAGGAAAGCCTGTTTCTTCTGAAGCTGTTTCCCCAAAGGTATCAAAAAAGAGAAGGATCTAAAACTGAGCCGTGTGGAACACCATATTTAAATGAAACAAACCTCTTTTTATCAGGAAACAGTCAGTTTTTCAGGATGTTTAAGTGAAAAGGAATATCTGACACGATCGTGGATGAACTGAAGCTTTCACACCCTGAAGGAAACGAGAAAAGCTGCCTCAGGGAAACCGCTCTGGAAACTGAAACTTAGATGCTGCGACACTCCCTGAACACATCACGGGTGGTTTGACCGGAACAATCAGCTGTAGATCCAGACAAACAACATTACTGAAGCCATGAACCTTTTGGCATTCAAATTCATTTCAAACTGTGGTTTCCTCTAACTTCAGATCCTCTGTGGGGTTTAAACCTGCACACTGCTTGGATTAACAACAAAGATGATTCACATAGATTTAATCATGACTAATAAACATGAGTATAATCAAAAGGGTTATTTTTACACTCTTAAAGTGTTAAATTCTGATAGATTATTAATTAGGAAACTCAAAGAACCGATGCAAACTAAAAATAAACTCCTGTAAATTGATATATCAAACATTCCCAACTCTTCAGTTTGGAATATTTGTGATGTAACGTCAATATAATTATCTGTACAGGAAACATCTCTGAGCTCTGCAGCCAGACTGTTACTGGGCAGCTGCTGATTGGCTGTTGCTAGGCAGCACGGGGCGGAGCAAGTTCAACCTGTTCCTGGATCCACCTGAGGCCGTTCACAGTGAATGGGAACCGGACGTAAGAAACATGTTCGCCTTCAAAGTCGGTCAGTTTCATTTCATTTCTTTATGATTTCCATTTATTTCTCTGCTCTGTTTGAAGGTAAACACCTGAGCAGGTGTTTACTGTAGAGGAAAATTACCTGAGCAGGAGTTAATCATAGAGCAAGTTACCTGTACAGATATTAAATGTTAGCAATGAAGCAGAAGTACCTGTACAGGTGTTAATAATAGAGTAGAAATACTTTTATAGATGTTAATAGTAAATATTCTGTACAGGTGTTACAAGACACCTGTATAATAGGTGACTATTATAACTATTATAATAGAGTTATAATAGAATATATTTACCTTTACAGGTGTTAATAATACACCAAAAATATTCTGTGTAGGAGTTAGTTGATAGTATTAGAGCAGAATTACCTGCTCAGGTGTTAGTGATGCAGCTAGTTTACCTGTTCAGGTGTTATTGATGCAGCTAGTTTACCTGTTCAGGTGTTAGTGATGCAGCCAGTTTACCTGTTCAGGTGTTATTGATGCAGCTACTTCACCTGTCCAGGTGTTAGTGATGCAGCTAGTTTACCTGTTCAGGTGTTCGTGATGCAGCTAGTTTACCTGTTCAGGTGTAGCTCGTATTTTTGGTGCAATCCTGCCTCACCTGTTTGCTGATATTTCAGGTATTTCCCTCCAACGGTCCAGATTTGACTAATTTCACCTGCTAAAGATTTTAACTTCCTATGTTTTAAAGTGAATCATGAACCAGAATTATTGAAAATTTTTCTTATCGTATCTTCCCACGAATGCAGGGAGTAAAGTTCAGATCTTTATTCCGATCAAACATTATGAGAAAAAGGAAAGAATAAATTTTGACAGTGAGTCAGTTTGAGAAGACATGCCAGTAAAACCGAAGACTAAACCAACTGGAAAGCCCAGCTTCTCGTCTCCCAGGGTTCACTGTGTTTCTGCTTCTTCTGTTAAATTATATAAAATATTTCATTGGTTTTGCTGCTTTGTTTCTGAACCATCTGGATGCTGATCAGCAAAGAGTCTTTGCTGCATCAGAAATGGAAAGATGTTCAGGATTCTTGCGAATCCTGAAGTTTTCCTCAAAGCATGAAGAAGAAATCAGTTTTAATCAGTTTCACTTCTGACAAAGAAAAAGTGAAGATAAAACTTTGCTTTTGTCAGAAAAATGATCTTAGTGTTCTTATTTCTTATCTGATTTTTATAAAATGTATGCCTTAAATTAATTAAAGCTGAGGAAATTAATGTTTTGAGACATATATTGTATATTCTAAATAGATACATATTTAGAAACAGTTTGGTTTCTAATTATAATTAAAATAATTTCTCTTTTATATTGGACAATTAAGTGAATTTGACAAAATTACAGCTGTACTATGAACCAGTTTGTTAAATTTTATGAAATATTTTGTCCTATTTTGAAGATTATGAATTGAGACTTTCTGACCTAAAGAGTCAATTAGTCCATCTTCTGTCCTTTATTGAACTTTAAGTAATTACAACGGCTGCAATGCTCCACAACAATGGGAAAATAACGCTGAAAAACCAACGAAGAACAATTCAAAAGTTATTTTTCCACGGCGTCTGTGTCTACTTTATGCCTCACGGAGCGCCAATTTCCTGGAAACCGAATGACAAAAGAGCAGAGATTAACACGCAAAAAAAACACGCAACATTTCCTCTCAACAGAACACAAAACCACAAACGGACCGTTTAAGTTTTCAAGTTTGATGTTTATTTATTGAGTTAGTTTCTGTTGCACAATGTTTCATCAGTAGTTGATTAACTGAAAGATTACTAACAAAAATACACACAAAGTCTGACGAACGTACGGAACCAAGCTAACGACTTCACATCTTGTGCTGAAGTTTGTTTTAAATTCTTTAGTCTTGGAAACATTCTGAGGATTCACCTGACGATGATTCATCCTCTCACCTGTCTCACCTGTCTGCCCTGAAAAACTCAACACTCACAACGTCACTTCTTATATTTCAGGGAAAAAAAACATTGGGAATCAATGCAACATCGTCAGATGTAAGTTTCAAACCTTCCTGATTTTACGAGTTTGATAAAACTGGAAAAATACAAAAATCTGTTCTGGTGCAAACATCTTAATATACTTGAAATAAGACAAAACTAACTTATAAGCAACTTTTCCACAGGATATGAGAGCTTGTTTTAAGTAAATAATTCCTCATTGTTGTTGAAAAATATTGTTTCAGTTATGGGAAAATGTTTTTTATAAGTTAAATAATATTTCTCATCAATAGTAAAGTATTATTGACCTAATGCAATCCTCTGTATATAGCTATAAAGTTACGTCTCTGTTAATTTTTGTCTTATTGCAAGTGTACTAAGATACTTTCTCCAGAAACTAGACAAGAACACTTGGTAAGATTTTGTTTTTTTGCAGTGAACGTCCCGTTTGTATCGTTCCTGCTGCAGAAATCATCTGACCGGTTTAGAACCTGGTCTGAAAATCTTCATCTTCGTTCCCCAGTTGTTTTTCTAAAATGGATTTTTTTGTCTTTCAGGGTTTCTCCAGGCGCTGATGCTCTTCATCCTCCTGCTGTTCAGCGTCGTCATCTTCCTGAAGCTCTACGACGACCCGATCAAAGGTCAGAACCTCCAGATTCTGCTGGTGGAGATTGTTTCTGTGTCACAGTGATGATGATGATGATGTTGTCAATAAAAGTCTTGCAGATGTTCTTGTTTTCTCCAGAAAAAGAGATTTATTTCAGGTGTGCTGCGTGATAAACTGATTTTATGTTTTTGAAAATTAGATCTTTGGAAAATCTGGATTTATTTCACCAATGTCATAGTTCAGATCGCGTGACGTCACCACGCCAATAAAGTAGTAATTTTATGAAAATGCCAACAAAAAAAATCCAAATTAAATGAGGAAAATTGACCATCTTGTGTAGTTATACTTAATAGAAACACTTAATCTTTTTTCTTGGAAAATTGTGTTTTTCTTTCTGCAAATATTATGACTGTTTTCTCATGATAAAACAAAAATGACCACAGTTTGGCCTTAGTATTCTGTCGTTCAACTCATAGAAGGAATGTTGGGGAAAAAAATGAATTTTTTGAAAATGTTTCTTGTAATTTTTTTTAAAGTAAGAAAAAAGCACAAAAAAAAACCATGATAAAAATCTGACCTGATTTGGAAAAAAAATGTTGGATCTTATTTAACTTTCGCTTGTTTCTTCTGTTGCAGATAAAACTAAAAATACGCTGAAATTCAGTCGCTCCTCCATGATGGACTCCGACGCAGGTGAGTCTGAACCGGGTCAGAACGGACCGGATCTTGTGGGCTTGTTGGGATCTGATTTACAGTTTTTCCTGCAGAGGCGCCATGCTCCATGAAGAACGTCTGTCCAGGGAATCACATCGGTTTCTTCGTCCAGAGCGGAGCTGCAAACGTTGTTCCTCCAAAGATCTGCATCAACAACAACCTGTAGGATCTCCGTCCTCTTCATTCTGTCTGCTCCGTTTGTCTCTGTTTGGACGTTTAATTCAGTTTGATTGGTCTTTTTTGTCGTTTTGGACCTTTTGCTTTCTTTCAGTCATGTCTTAGCTCAGATGATGTTTGTTGACTCTCAGCGTTTTGTTGCTTCAGGGCTTTAGGAACCGTTCTGAACAACGCTGGCGGCGGAATCAACGTCGTGGTGGTAAACGGTAAGTGATGGGGATTAAACCTGGTTTTTTACATTATAATGTAAATTCGGATTTATAACTAATTTTCACAAATTTTTATTTGTTTAACTTAACATAAAATATGTATATTTTTATTTACTGATAAAATGTTTTCTCTCATAAAAGCAGCTGTTTCTACAACCTGCATATTAAAGTCATTGTACAAAGAACCTCAATAAATAGGAGTACATTTCCACAAAAAAAATCTGGAATTTTCTGAATGAAAAAAGAGCTTGAAAAGTAAAAAAAAAAAATTACTAGAAAAAAATCATATAAGATTTTAGATTAATTTCAGAAATCTTCTAAAAAATTATTGGAAATTTCTGAGTTTCAAATGTTGAAATATTTTACTTTTAATCTTTTTTTAATCATTTTGTTTATTTCATCTTTTTCCCCATAATTTAGCCTTTTCTAATTATTTACATTTTGTCTTATGAGTTCAACATTTTCGTCATCATTTGGACTCCAATTTCAAAATAGGTGATCGGCAAAGTAAAAAAAATAAAAATAAAAATACACATAAATTAAAAAATAAAGTTACTCCATATCTGTTTTTTTCTCTAGGTGGCTCCTGTTCTCTGTTACAGTTTTTCATACCGATTAGAAGCTTAATAAAGTGATTTTTAGTATTTTTTAATAACCCGCCGGAGCTCCAGGCTGATCTCACCTGGTTTGTGTCCGGCAGGTAAATCCGGAGACGTCCTGAAGACGGATCACTTCAACATGTACAGCGGCAGTAAGTCGCCATCATGAGACCGGATTCTGTCGGATCCAAACGGATCCTGATGCTGATGTTTGTGTTGCAGGTGTGGAGCCGCTCATCGAGCTCCTCAAGAACATCGAGACGGGTTCTGTGGTTCTGATGGCCGTTTTCGACGAGGGATCCACAAAGTCAGTTGTCCCTAAAGACGCTTCATATTTACGGAGAAAAGCTTAAATCTGCTCTGAGGAAATAAGATAAAGTCTCTAAAGAACAAAACTTATTAAAGTCTGAAAAAATAGCAGAAATAATTTGATCCCAGTTTGTTTTATTAGCTTCATTAAAATGAAAGTTTGACATTAATTTTTTATGATTTGAACACAGAAATACAGTCAGCTAGAATCAAACTTTCTTCATAAATTTATCCACAAATCACATCAGAAATCTCAAAACTAAAGATTTTTACTGTCAGATTATTTATCAGATACAAAAGAAATTTGGTTTATTTCAGACATGTGAGGGGATACATTATATTTATTTATATTAAATAAATGGGTAATATTGTTGCATTTACTTATTTACTTATACTTTCTAATATTTATTGTTAATTTATTAACTTTTATTTATTGTTCACTTCTACTTATTTGTCAATAGTTTTATCCATTTATTTTAATATTTTTTTACCAGCAAATATTTTAGCTATTTATATTTTTTTAATTTATTGATTTATTTTGATTTTTTATTTATTATATAATTATTTGTATTCAGTCAATAATTTTTTCCTAATATTTTTCTGTATTCCTCTTTACTTATTATGTTTTCACTAATGCTTATTTATTAATTGATATTCATTCATTTTAATTTATTTACTTGCTGATACTAATTAAGTATTAGCTAAATAATACATTAATTTACTTACTGATATTTATTAATTAATTAGTTATATAATAAACAGTTACATATACATTTTCAAAAAATTTTACATAAACAATTTTTCTAAATTAATATTTATTTATTTTAGAAATCAATATTTATTTACTTACTAATATTGATGTATTCATTTGTCAGACCCAGTGTTTTTGTCCCATCAGGTTAAGTGAGGAGGCCCGGACTCTGATCTCGGAGATGGGCAGCTCCTCCATCCATTCCCTGGGATATCGGGATAACTGGGTGTTTGTTGGAGGGAAAGGGATGATGGGGAAAAGCAACTTCGAGAAGGTAAAATCATCAAATTAAACTAATTTAAAACTGGTTGGCTGACTCCTGCTGTGGAACTAAAATCTGATCCATTCGTGTGTTTCAGTACATAAAGAGCGACAGTTCCAAAAACAAGTATGATAACTGGCCTGAGATGGTGGAGGTGGAGGGATGCATTCCCAAATACGTGGAATAATCCCGGAAAAATCAGCAGGAAGCTGCAGGACGGGATCTTTAGGACATACTAAACTGATCTGGATGAATCCATGAGATCCTCCACATCCTGCAAAAAGCCGGGCCTGATGCTGAGACTCAGAGTCCAGGTTAAATTAAAATAATCCGGTCAGCTGTGGATGGAATAATTAATCTGTATTCAAAGGAAAACAGGAAACATCCGAACATCTCCACTGATCCAGGATCCTAATCCATCTGGAACAATCCTGCTGCTGCTGACGTTTAACTTTCCTCAAGGTCCAGCCTCACCTGCCGGAGCCATTTATAGACTTCAGCAGATTAAAAGCAAATTAACAGATTATTAGGGCATCATGAGGAGCAAAGTGTTTTTATGGGAAGGGGATTTGATGGATTTATGTTGTCAGATAGAAAAAGTGGGAAAAGGTAAAAATATTGTAAATATTTCTATTAAAATGAAACATTTAAATTCTAGTTTTTAACTTATTTTTCTGTTTTGTATTAAATAAATCCTGTTTTTACTTTATGATCTTCGTTTCAAACTTTCATTTTAACCCTAAAGAAACAATTAATCAAATGAAATAAACAAAAAAAGCAGACTACAGTTAGTTAGTTAGTTAGTTAGTTAGTTAGTTAGTTAGTTAGTTAGTTAGTTAGTTAGTTAGTTAGTTAGTTAGTTAGTTAGTTAGTTACAGACCCAATAAGGGACAAATTCCAGAATTTTGATTAAAGTCAGAATTTTAAAATCAAAGTTAGAATTCTGAATGTCATAATTCTGAATTTAATGTCATAATTCTTACTTTCTTCTGAATGTTTTTTACTCAGCCAGAGTTTGGTTTGTTGGTTTTAAACACATTGAATCTGGGTTTAAACTTTAAATTGATAGCGAGTGCCAAATTGAGAGAGCCGTTTGAAATAAAAGTGGTTCTAAAATAAGGAATCTTACATTCATCGCTACTTAAAGCTGCTCTGGTGGATCTGCTGTCGGCCTGCAGTTACTAAAACAACCACAGATAAGAAGGGAATAAATTCTTCCTGGTAGAAAAACAGGAAGGACCGGAGGAACAAAGGCAACTCTAAAACTTCCAACCCAATTGAGGAACAAACACACCTTTCTACCCAGAAGAAGGTGGAAATCCCTCAGAATTGAACGGATTGAACCCTCTGACCCCAAAACGGATCCAGAACTGTTTCTGTTCCGGTCCAAACTGTGAGCCCTGTTTTCTCATCACATCGTTCCCTAATCTATCAAGAATATGTAGTGGAGAAAGTTTCATTTATGTAGATTATTAGATGATCTTGTGTTGTGAATTGCAATTTCTAAGCAATGAAACAACAAAAATACACCAAAGTGACTCAATTTATAGCTCTACATGAACTCTGCTGCCAACTAGTGGCTAAATGTAAAATAAAACTAAATGCAAAAGCACAAAATCTCACCTCGTATTTTTGGTCTAGTTTATTTTGCAAATATCTCAACATGCTTTAAATAAGACAAAACTTTTCAGCATGTATTATTAATAATAATATAATAGTGGAGCTAGTAGTGTTTTGCAATTAAGCAATTATTGACTTAAAACAAGCTCCTATGTCTTGCTGAAATTCTGACTATTAAAAAGTATCCACAAATAAAAAGTTTTGAGTTGATTTAATTTAAATATGTCAATAAATGTTGCTTTAATTGTTGTAAATAGAATCAGAGTCGCAGTGGATAACTGAGGTTAAAAAAAGTATTAAGTCTAGGGTTCCCAACAATAAATTTGACAAACTATTTTCTTATGGAATGAAATTTAAACATAAATAGCATTGTTTTAAGAGCCTATAAGGCTGCAGAAAAAAACAACTGTGTTTATGCAGGGAGGACCTGGCTTATTTGTTTTTCTCAAGAAACTTCGCATGAAATTCACTGTTTAATTTTGATCACTCAAATAAACGGAAGAAACTCAGAGATAACAGTGACAACTGAAGACAAACAGAGAGAGGACTTGTCCTCCAGGATTCAAAGTTCCTGTGGATCAGATGAACTCAGATTTCTTGGTTAATTCATTGTCGAAACAAACACTTCACATCCTGCAGACCTTCTGTTCTGAGCAGTTTCAACCCTGGAGCAACAAAAATGACTTTTTAAAGCTAGACAATTTCACATCTCTTCCGCTTCACTTCATTTGTTGAAAATCATCCATAATTGCTCAAGTAAAGCTCCAAAAATTTAGAATATTATCAGAAATACAATGAAAAAGTGACATTTTTTGTCACGCATTTCAGAAACAGTCCGGTTCTTTACCTCTCAAGCATTTACCTTCCTCTCAACGTTTTATGAATGTGATACAGCGTTTTCTGAGACATTGCATTTTGAGTTTTCATCATCTGTTTATTCATAACGGTTGTACTTTGTTTCTTTTTTTCACCCGTATGATTGAGTACATTTCTGGTGCAATACCAGTTTCTGGTTATATTGGCACCAATTCTTGTAATTTTATTTTAGTTTTGTAATTTTTTTCCTTAGTTTTCCCCTAAATACTTAGTAATGTTTTGTGAGCTGAGTTAATGATTGTTTGTCTGTGCTAATTAATATGTTATATTTTTACATAATATATAACAGAGAGTACAAACAACTGTGCAATTATTGAAATATAACTCTAAAAGCAGTGTAAGTGTAATTGCAGCGAAGCCATTACTAAAGAAACTGATTTCTATTTTCACAGAATACAAACACACACAAATCATCTGCCATAACATGAAACCGGGCAGCATGGATTGATGATTGAAATTGAATATGGGATCCAGCAGCAGAGCAGATGGAGAAGGTAAGAAATCTGGAAACCTGATGCCAAGCAGCAGTTTGTTTAGCCTTTTCTTACCTAAAACCAGTTGAACTGTTTCTGTTGCACTGAGAGCTGAAGGATGTGTCTCAAAAGGCAGCAAACAGCGCCACCTTATGGAGTTTTAGAAATGTTGGATCAGGCTGGCAACTCCTGATTTCTCTCACTCTGACATTCAGTTTCCCAGCACCAAGTGAACTGACTGCTCAAACAAATGTTTTTCTCGCTTCATTTCACAGAACATCGTCCAGGGTCCTGCTGCTTTAATAATCTGCTGGTCAAGTCCAATGCGACGGGACTTCAGCTTCTTCCTCTTCCTGCAACAAAACATGCTGTCATGTCATGTCCATATTTCACGTTTTTGCACGACAAATTTTGGCGGGCGGACGGACGGACGGACTATCATATCATACATCTCTAAGGCTCCACAAGGTGGCGCTATTTGGAACCTTTTGAAGCGCATCCTTCAGTTCAACTGGTTTCATGTAAAACATCTGCTGATTAAAATCACTTTTCCAGTTTTCTGACCTTCTCCATGTAGAGCTGTTCTGCTGCTGGACCTGAAATTTCCCATATTCCAGTTCAATTACTGGAATACGTAATTCCACTAATTGGAATTACATACTTATGTTTTCCAGTTTCATGTGAATGTGACACACATGATGGTAGACAAACTGATTTGTGAGAAAAAAGTGCTTTTATTCTGCGAAAACAGAAATATTTTTTTTTAGTAATGGCTTTACTGTGATAATGGTTATACTCAATTTATATAATGTAGTTATTACACAGTTATTTGTACTGTCTACTATTATGTCCAAAAATCAAACATGTTAATTAACATAGACAAATAACCATGAATTTAGCTTACATTACATTATATAAGGTTATGATTGTAAATATTAATCATTGACAGCTGTTCACCTGATTGACAGTTAATCCATCCTCAGTTAAGCCATTAACTAAGGAAATAAATATCTCCTTATACTGGTAAATATTTTTTTTATTCATGAAACATCATAGTTTAATGAACTGCAGCCAAAACATCACACGTATGATCACTGTGTAGAGCATCCTCCCATCTTTTGCACTGCTGCTGCAGCTCCAACTATTGCTCCCAGATTAACTCCAACACCAGCTCCAACAGCAACTCCTAATGGTCCTCCCAAAACTCCAATTGCAGCTCCAACACCTGCTCCAGTTGCAGCTCCAGCAGCAGCAGCCCCCAGAGTAGCACGCATAAATGAGTTGTCTTTCTCTGCCCGCCTTCTTGCAACTTCAGGATCAATTTCTGGATCTTCTCTGATTAATCGATCTGCTTCTTCTTGTTTGGCTCTCTCTGCGTCTTCAAGCATTTCATTGGTGTAGTAACTTCCCCCATTTTCCTTAACCAGTCTGTTGATCTTCTGCACCAGTCCCCTGACTTGACCAGGATCCTCAACAGTGTTATCGAAGACATGATATTTATCTTCAAACGTCTGGAAGATGGCACACTGACTGATGAAACGCTCCAGAGGTCTGTGTTTTTTTAACATTTCTCTTATTGCAATATTTTCCTGTTTTAGTTCGTCTCCATGGGTAAATAGGATCATAGTGTATGTGGCTGCTTCATTTCCAAAAATTTTCTGGATAATTTTTAAACATTTTTCTTCTTCTGTGGTGAATCTGGTTGGTTGGAGAACGATCAGGAAGACATGAGGACCAGGAGCCGCCAGGCAGATGCCTTTAGCAATTTCTTCCATAATCTCTTTATTACTTCTGTCTGTATCAAACAGACCTGGAGTATCAATAACAGCCAGTTTCAAACCTTCAAAATCATTGATTTTCTTCTCACAGACTGATGTCACAGAGGTAAAAGAGAGGCAAGAATTAAAAAATCTTCTTCTTAACATGCTGTTTCCTGCTGCACTTTTTCCAACTCCAGTTTTCCCAAGAAGAACAATCCTGAGCTCCGTGTCCTTTTTAGCTGTTGGAGAATTTGAAGACAACAACAAAGAGGGAGAAGTTTAATCCAGATAACTTCAAAGTAACTTAACATACCTCTAATGATGCCAGTTTTATGGACTTAGAACAAGTTCTACAGTTGATCAACTATTGATGAGTTGCTCTACTTTCAGTAAAATAAGTAAGCTTGCACCAAGCTTGTCTGAGCTCCTGAAAAAATAATGTCAACAAGTTTAGATTCCTCAAAAAAAGACCCTGTCTGATTACACTGATGAAGTGGCTTCTGCTCTACTTCCTTTAGATAAGGACTGTAGTTCTGGAGCCCTGAAGTTTGCGGCTGTCTGAGTGGAATCCTTTCCCAGACGCTTCATCCCAGCTGCTGCTGACACCTTGGCTTCTTTGCTCATCAAACCTCAACTCACTGACCCATCATGCCTTATTGCTCATAAGAACTGCTCTAACAAGATGTTGCGACTGGGCAGAGAAAGTTAAATTAATCGATCTAGTTCAGTCAGTCAAGTTTATTTGAATAGCACATTTCAGCAACAAGGCATTTCAAAGTGCTTTGTATCAAAAAAGCACAAAGTCAGAGAAGACTCAGTCAGTAATTACATTTTGTCAAGCGCCATGTTACACATCAGATTGTTGATTGTTTAATTCATAATGTTTCAAAAGCAACTGGAAGCAGGTGGATTTTAGTCCAGATTTAAAGGAGCTCTGTATTTCAGCTGTTTTGCAGTTTTCTGGAAGTTTGGTCCAGATT